ATCCAGCATTTCCCCCTTGCCGAGGTCTAGTCACTGAACCTGCCTCAGTCACCTTGAGAGGGCATGTTATTTAGCACCTGTCTTGGTTGGTGGGCTCCAGTCTCTGGCCCATTATTTTCTTTATTAATTCCACAATTACAGTGTACCCAGTCTTTTAAACACGTGTATGACTCATTAATTAATTGTAAAGTGAACTTGGTGAGTTATGATTAACAAAAAAATAGAAGAGAGAAGGATAGGAAATATCCGAATGCACTGCACGTAATAAGTACTATTGTAAACACATTATTCTGGATTGCAGTTTTAAAAAGGTATCTTTTGAAATCCTGCTCTATTAAAAAGCAAAAACACTTCAGGTATCCCTCTTGTGGCAGTTCCCAGCCTACCTCTGTATAAAAAATTTGCAATTCAGTGTATTTGTATTTTGTACTACTTTGGGCGCCCCAGAGTATAAAGTCATAACTTTAGCACAGCTTTTCTGGAACCATCGTGTGGTATATTAATCAGTGAGTAAACGCCGCATCGAGAGTCCTTCTGCACATACACAAGTAGTGTGGCCAAGGGGGAATCCAGAAGACCTTCCTGGGCTCCCACCTCCAGGATCAGTACCCCCTACACCTGACGGCCTCACACTGTACCACCTATTTTGATACACTGAGTTGGGCTGGAGAGAGGACAGTGCCAGACAGCTGCTCCTCTTAGCGCTGCCCTCCCCACCAAAAGCATTTCAGGCAAACCTCCAGCTCTTGAAACTTGGCCTCTTTGAAGTGGTGAGTGAGTGCCCCTGAAGGAGAATGTCACTCTACATGTGGTGGTGCTTCTGCTGCCAGAGGTTCATGTAAGGCTCGTGTCCTTTTCCTCTGAAATCTATAAATGTAAATTCAATTTCAAACTGTTTGGGTTTTTTTAACAGTTGGTCTCAGAAGTATCTTTGGATTGGGGAAGGTGTGCTAGCACTGATGGAAGGAGATCTATGCCCTTCAATATTTTTTTTTTTTTTTTTTTTTTTGAAAACTGCTGACACAGGCTCATCGACAAAGAACTAAATGACCCTACTGTTTTTACCTGCTGACAGACTCAGCCTTGGGGCTGGCCTGAAATTAGCTCTCACCACATGGCAGAGATATGCCTTCCTCTTGTTTTTTTCTTTCATACAAATAGGGAGTACTATTGTGCCCATTGAATAATACAGCTTTGTAGTATCTCCCTGATGAGGACTGGCTTTAAAACCTTTCCATAATCAGTGTTCTTTGGGAAATGCTAATAGGCAGACCCATCCAAGCTCAGGAAGTGCATCAATGCTAAGATGAGTGACCAGCCTGGTGTCCAGCAGACCACACCATGTAAACCTCATGGTTCCTTCCATGTCTGCTACTTGGTGAGTGAGGCGGCTTTGGAACCTTAGCCTGCGGAAATGAGGCTGAGCGTTTCAGTTCTGTTGTTCTATGCTGTTATCTGTTGGAAAAGGAGGATTCCCTACCCATTTTGTAAGCATACAGCTGGCAGGAGCTGTTGCAATCTCACTGCCTTCCGATCAGCCCCACCCCAGCAGCAGGCAGAGTGGGGGCCCCCCTTGAAACACACTCTGGCCAAGGGGTTGTGGTGAGTTTCAAAATAAAAGATCACTGCGTGAGCACGCCATTGCACTTCCTATCCCACAGGACCAGCTTTGTTAATTGTGTCACATCTCTTTTCTAAATTTAGGCATCTTTTTTTTTCAAGGAAAGATTACTATGCAAACATTTAAGAAAAAAACTTCACCCAAAGTAATTTTTTCCCTCAACTTCTAGTTGGTTTCCTGCAATGTTTAGATGACTCATTCTATTCCAAGAAATTTTAAAGGAGAGATGCGGGCTGTGCGATAGCACACAAAGACTGCTCTGTCAATTCTCTTTCTTCCCTGCCTAAAAACCTCTTGCTTTTCTAACAGAGAAGGGAAAGGCTCCACAGTCTTCATTGTCATGTACATGGTCTCAGCAGGTTTTGTTGTTCCCAGGAATAAATGTCCCCCTTGTCTTTGGGTGGGGTCCCCTTATAGCTCCTCCGCTCTGACAACCCCTTCAGAGCAGCCAGCATGGAAGCCCTTCTTGGGACACTGGGGCCATGCTTGCCACCAAAGCAGTTAAGGTTTCTGAAATTGAAAATGGGTGGCCTTTCTCATCTGTGAAAGGAGAAGCATTGGCTATTTCCTGCCTCTCTCCATGAGTCAGTATTGCTCCGGCCTGCTGGGCGCTTGCTGGGGGCTTGCTGGCGGCTTGCTGGCGGCTTGCTGGCGGCTTTATCACACACTTTAACTGGGCTAGCTACACGTGTGTCCCCAGCCCAGCCCACAGCCAGAGGGGAGCCTGAAGTCAGGATCCCTTCAGCAGCCTGTTCAAATAAACAGGGATAATAGTTGAGCCAGTCCTTTTCCAGCTAATCGGTAGTACATGAAAGGAAACATCTGCCTGGGCTTAATTGCTGTTTTATTGGATGTGTTTTTTCTCCCCACCCTGCCCCCCCTCCTCTGGGGGCTAAGTTATTTAAATCATGGGTAAGCAACAAGGTAGAGAACTGGGAGCTTTCTCCTGTAATCGCTGCCATTTAATACAGAGGTGGTAAGGGAGGGTGGGAGACTGGCAGGAGGAGTTGGTCCGGAGGTGGGAGGGCAGGGCTCTTGGAAGTGATAATCATGGTTACTTCCTGGCCTTGTTGCTGACTCTGGGGCTGGTTGGTGAGTCATTTTGCCTCCCTTCACCTCCTTGGACCTCTGCTGCTTCAATGGAGCTCAGCTGTCCTTGCTATGGGAAGGAGAGGCTGGCATGTGAGCTCCTAGATGAAACACATTTCCTCCTGTGGCTTCTCCCACTGGCTGAGGGCATTGGGAATGGTAAATTGAGCATTGGCCAGCCCTGAAGCCATCCATTTTATAGAGCATCTTGGTCCCTGATAATTTTCCGCTCTATGGAGTAAAGCCAACCAGCCATAGCCCGAAATGGGTGATGTTTGAATCTAACACAGACTCAAGAAGCCAGACAAAAGATCATAAAGAATCATAGAATGACAGAGGTTGGAAAAGACCTTAAAGAGTATTTAAGTCAAAGACTTTCATTTTATGGAAAGGAAAACACAGGCTTAGGGAGATAAACTCAGTTGTCCAAAGTTACTCCTTGATGGTGATGGAACTCGGAATAGAAGACTCTTGTGATTGCTAATTCAGGTCTCCTTCCACTGTTTTCCGTAGTGCTGGGTGTAAAAATTAATGTCAACTCACGACAAAGGTCAAATATGTTATATTCCATACTTGATTCCATAATAGAAAAATGACAGCATATAAACAAAAACTGAAAATGACTGGTAAAATACTTTTTTTTAAACTTCAGGCCCACCCTGGCTGGTGTGGCTCAGTGGATTGAGCACCAGCTCGTGGATTGAAAGGTCTCCAGTTTGATTCCCAATCGGGGCCTATGCCTGGGTTGTGGGCCAGGTCCCCAGTTGAGGGTGTGCAAGAGGCAGCCAATCAATGTTTCTCTCTCACTCTTTCTCCCTCCCTTCCCCTCTCTCTAAAAATAAATAAATAAAATGTATATTTTTTTAAAGTTCAGGATCACTGGAATCAAAGGACTGCAAATTACAGTAGGGTACCGTATCAAATTGTCCAGACAAAAAAGTGAAATAGCATTCTTATAAATTTCTGGTGGTATTTTAAATGGTACAGTTTTTTTTCCAAAGACAATTTAATGATATAAATAAGTAAATAGTCTGACTCAGCAATGTTACTTCTAGTAGGAAATAATGAAAGGTAGGCATAGATTATGTACAAAGTAATTTAATACAGCATGTTTTATCGTAAGAATTTGTAAACAAAGTAAATGTCCAAGAATAGGAGCTACATCAATATAATCTATTGTGGTATTATAGAAAAATAATAATGTGTAAGGAAATGTTTACAACATATATTTAAGTGATAAGTTATATGTGTAATTTTCTAGTTTTATGTATAACTAAACTTACTCCTTTTGTAGTAAGAAAGCAAGTATTCTTAAAGCCACATATCTTGAAAACAGCAAGATCTTAAGTGATTATGTGTCTGACATGCAAAACCTTTATGTGCCTGGGAGCTGAGCAGGGCTGGTGGTAGCGTTATACCTTCTGGTAGAAGGGCATTGTTGGTATCTGATGTTTAGTAGAAAGGAACTAAAGGGAGCTGCGAGAAGATAAAACGAGGGCTCCCTTCTCAGAGACCCAATAATGCCAATCAGTTTAATTCCCTGCTCTTTTGGGCTTGGCATAAAACAGTATAGAAGGCGTGGCTCTTCCTTTCTGCTTCCTCATTCTCTATTTCGCCTGTTCTCTCTGTTTAGTTAGATACCAGTTCTGAGTGGCAGCAGCTAAGAACCTGAGAGCCGCAACTACTCAGGATTAACTGGTTGGCAGCCCCTTAACATATATTACCAGAATCAAGTAACGCTGTAGCTAATCGCACAACCAATCTTTGTTGAGGTACCACTGCCCTGGGGTAGAGAGAGAGTAAATAAGAGTCCTAACTTCTTCCTGCTTAAAGATTCCTATTTAGTTGGGTACTTTGAAGACCTTAGATGTTTATATACATCTTCTGATCTCATCCTGTTTTATACCTTACTTGTTCCTCCACAGTTCTCAGACATGCTTGACTACAAGTGTCCAAGACTTGTTCCACCTAACAACAGTTGCTAGTTAGGATTGTGGCTTTCAGGCCTGTTCTTTGGGGACTAATTGAAAAATCAAAGGCTACAACCCATTTTCCTTCCACACTATTGCCTTTGCTAGGCTATAGAGGGGGCACATTTCATTTTATTAAAACTCTTTGAGTAATCTGACCATAATTGGGTCTGATCGGAGTGGTTATCTGATTTGCTAGATTAAATAATGGGCCTTAATTGAGTCTGTGTTATTTGTAGAGCCAGTGCTGCTCTTGCCTTTGTTGTCCCCTCCTTCCTCCTCCTGCTTCCCAATTAACCTTCATTCCTCTTTCCTTGCAGAGTAAAGAAGTCGGCCAGCAGCTCCAAGATGATTTGATGAAGGTCCTGAATGAGCTCTACTCGGTAAATCAGCTGGGTTGCCTGGCTCTTTAACAAGCAGAGGGAAGCAGCATTTGGCAGTTCGTGGCCATAGCCGTGTCAGCAACAGAAGAACTGAGCTGAGGTTGAGGACAGTGCATGGTCCCCTTTGGGGGTGCCTCCACCCATCTCTTTTTTTACGCTCTTATTTTCAAACCTGAATGAGCCAAAAACAATTTCTCAAAAACAAGGTCCCTTTTCAACTGTGCTAGCTAGAGGCCAGTCGAGGCTTAGGTCACCAGCACAACTGATCCCATTTGCAGCAAACCAGGGACCCCCAAACCCAACGGCAAAGAACCCAGCCTGCCTTGCACCATTAATATGCACGTGTTGGAAAGCAGTTTTGGTTCAAGGTTTTACATCAGTTCTCGGATTGGCCTACCTATTTGAGACTAGAGTGAGTGCTAAAGGAAGCATGGAGTCCTAAATGCCTGTAATATGAGGGACCAGTTCAAGCAGAGAGCTTTGCATCGACTCCCTGGAGTTTCATAAAGGCCAAACCTCAGTGAAGGTGCAGGTTTTGGGCTTGGGAAAAAAAAACACTGTTCTGAAATAACAGGCGCTTCAGGCATGCGATGCCTGTTGCTGATGGGTGTTTCTTCATGCACTGGGAGGTGGTGGTGGTGGTGGTTCTTCCCCAAGCCATGTTTCATTAATTATAATTAAAACACATGCACACCAAAGAAATTCCTGACAGGGAATATTTCAGTTGTGCAGCGAAAACCTTCCAGGGCTGCTTCTCTAGCTGAGTTGTGCCAGACCTTTGTGTCATTCTCCAGGGCTACCCCAACCTGATTGGAGGTGAAATTGATTTCCCATGTTTACATGGGTATATCCTTCCTTCCTTCCTTCCTTCCTTCCTTCCTTCCTTCCTTCCTTCCTTCCTTCCTTCCTTCCTTCCTCCCTTCCTCCCTTCCTCCCTTCCTCCCTTCCTCCCTTCCTTTTTTTTTCCCCTCTAAATTCACAGGAAGACAGTCAGCGGTCACATGCGTCACAGGCATTTGGGATCAGAGAATTGCGTGTTCTTGATCCAAAAGTCTAGGTGTGGCCATTTTGTCATGGCAACTGTTAAACAAGTAAATAGGGTAGTCATCAGACTTGTCTCCAGTGACACTTAGTGTGTTTGGAATTTCTACTCTGTGACTCTTCTGCTGTAAAGCCAAGTAGATAGAGAGTGCCCTTTGGTTTAGCTGCCAAGTTTTCATTTCTCTCAAATGAAGTTAAGGCTTGTTAGAAATAGAAACATATTGACTTGGACCATTTTCAGACTGGATGAGTTTCCTGAACCCCTTGTCTTTTTAATGCTTTGCTTCTGTTATTTATTTTTAGAGTATCTTCAAGGCACCAAGAAGAGCTATTATTACTCCTTTCTCCTGCAAAGAATGCACTAAGATAGAAAATGACACATGTAGTCATTGTATGAATCCTTCTATTTTCCTGTAAACATCTTGGCCCTCTGCTCTTTGCTCTTTCTGGAGAGGAGTAGGTTGGATAACCAGCAAACTCCAAACTAACTCAAACCCAGCATGCCACATTCTGCAGTGCAGCAGAGGAGGAATGGTATCTAGGGATCTGTTAGCATTAGTCAGAGTCCTAGGTCTCCTAGGATGCTAAGACAAAAAATAATAAGCATTGGAGTGAGGAGGAAAACCCTGGCACTTGCTTTACTGGGCACTGTACGGCCACAGGTAACACAGAGCATAAACTCTTCCTGCTGGTGCGCAAACTGAGAATTGGCTGAGTGTAGTATCTCCTGCCATTAGGTGACTTGACACCACTCTTATAATCTGCCTGAGGCCAAAATAAAATTTGATATTTTCCTGTAGTAGGCAATAGGAGGAGAAAAAACAGGACACTGGAAATTTCCAGATAAGGCAGTGATTCTCTGGCAGGGTGACTCTTTACCCCCGAGGGGACGTTTGACAATGTCTGCAGACACATTTAGTTGTCATAACTGGGGTGGGGGATGCCAGAGATAAGAATGTGACTAAAATCCTATGATGCACAGGACAGCCTCCCACAGCAAAAAATTACCTGCCTAAAATGTCAATAGTACCGAGATTGAAAAACCCTGGTCTAGTGACTAGAGCCTCCTGAATTAGACAACCCAGATTCTATCTAGTCTACCACTGGCTATGTGATCTTGGGGGATGCTCTGTGACCCAGGTCTCCACATGCCATGTATTGGTATCTCCATATCCTGGAGGATGAGGGTTGGGGGAGTCATACTTCCTCAAATACCAGACTATAGTTAAAGGTCAAATGAGCTTGCAGATTCGATAGGCCATTAGAAAATTCAGAGAGTAGAATCATGGGTTGTTTCTCCTTGAGGGTGAGATAAGCACAGGACTGGTACGAATAAAGCACCATGACTTTAGAGTGACCAACTATCCCGGTTTGCCTGGGACTGAAGGGCTCCCTGGCCCATGAGACTTTTTCATGGCAGAACCCTGGAAAGTCCGGGCTAAACCAGGCCCACTGGTCACCCTACATGGGTCAGTGGTTTCATCAAGTAGGAACTTGGGACCAATGTATGCTGGATCTGGGAAGTTATTTGCTGTGTATTCCCTCTTTCTTATAAAGAGGTTTCCCCTTATCTGCTCTTCAGGAAGCTATGAAAGGATCTCTCCTTTCAGTGACTGTAGACAACAGAAGTTTTTTGTGGGCATGGGATAAAGGAAGTAAAGATTATAAGGAATTCACCATATTCAGCACTTTTCTTTCCTTGCATCTTCCTCTATTGGCCATAAGTACTTCTTTTTGGGAGGCTGATTGCCAAGGGGTTGATAATGTAAGTACTTTTGAATCTTCATGAAACAAAAGGCCAGGCCTAGGTGTTCCCACATAAGAGTGCCTTTAGTAAAGAGGCCTGGAGTCCGTAAGTGGCCAGCTGCTCCTCTATACTCTCCTCTTTTCTGCCGGAAGGGCCTTTGGTTTCCCTGACTTGGCCTCTGTGGCAGGGGTTACTTCCCACAGCTGCTGCTCAGAGAGCTATCCCAGTGAGCATTCTCCCCCATGTGTTTCTTTCCCATAATAAACGAGCTGGCTAATTTGTAGGCTATGGCATACGTAAGTGGTTTTCATGTTCCAACTGATGATCCAGGAATGCCTTTGAAGGCAGAGCCCACTGCTTCCCGAAGAACACTGGAATTCTCTGCCTCAGTTGTACTCAGAGGCTGTATCGGGAAAAGCCAGGTAAGCCCCCCACCCCCGACCAAGGAAGGAGTATATGTGGGGGCACTGAAGCCACATGGATTGGCTAAATAGGGAGAGTCAAGGAAGCCCTAAAATTGAGAAAGAAAGAAGAGGTGATGGGACTTGGGGGGCATTGGTGTCCCAGAGGTTTTACGCTTCTAAGTATTCCTCCTGATTATAGTCTTCCTGATTTGGTGCAGCAGCTGTCTGCTAGGGAGCCATGACTGGTATTTAGCACCTGCTCCCTTGAAACAATGTCAGTTTGATAGTCCCCCAACTCTGCTTGCTTGTATCTGCAGCACTGGGCACTAAGGATACAAAGGCACATAAGAGATGTCCCTGAACTCAAGGCATTTAGTTTTAATGGAAGAGACAGAAAGATAAAGCCGGAAGTGAAATAGAAGACATGTCCACACAGAGGAGGGACATGAAGTCTGACTCCCTACAGGGATTCTTGAACCTTAATTGCCAGGAGCTCTTTTATTGTTCCCTTTTTGTTGCATCCTGTTCTTGTTTCATGATGCAGTGTGTTTTCATTTCTCGTTGATCTCTCTAGGGATATTATTGATGGATTATTATCAAAGTTTTATTCTTTCTGTATACTTTCTGTTTCCTCTATACTGGTTGTTTTGGTCTTTCATATTAGATATTTTCCTTAAATGCTTAATGATCTTTAGCTGCCTGCCTATATTTTAAAGTGAGGCACTGAAAAGTTGGTTGGAAGTTCTGGGTCAACCTGAATTTTATTGTAGGCCAGGGGTATCCAACCCGCGGCCCAGGATGGCTATGAATGCGGACCAACACAAAATCATAAATTTACCTAAAACATTATGAAATTTTTTTGTTTTTGTTATTGTTTGTATATTTAATTTGTGGCCCAAGACAACTCTTCTTCTGGTTGGACACCCCTGCCAGGGTAATCTGATAGGACTATGTTCTTGGGGAAGACCAGTATTTCTAGATCTTTTATCTTGGATGGTCAGGTTTCCCAGACAAGGCTCTTCTATCTCCCACCTGTATTTGGAGACCAAGTTGTAAAGAGGCCTAGACCATCTCAACATTCGTTTAGAATTTTCAGTTGATACTTCCAGAACCCAAGTTCAGTACTCTTGCCCTCAGCTGACCCTGCTGTCTTCAGTTAATAGACCCTCCCTAAGAGTATAGACCTCCAGTCTTCCACTATAGATGGAGAAGGGATGGGATCTGGGAGTCTAACTGTTCTGAAGCTTTCAAGAGTTTCTTCTGTTTTTAGCTCCACCTTTATCCCACTGCCACCGATTCCTCTAAGGGCTTTTGTGATAACAGTCTGGTTGCTTCTTGGCTTTCTCTCTACTTCTGGTTTAGGGTTCATTAGGTCAGTTACACTTGCCTCCTGCTTTTCATCTTCCACTTTTGTTCTTTTTGTTTTCCTTAATTTATTTCCTAATTTATACTAAAAATAATAGTAACAAAAACTCTTTCTTGATATTTTAGTGTGGTTCGGGGAGGGAACAGAGCTAAAGATGTGAATTCAGTATTGTAATTTTCAAAGTAAAGTTAAATCTCTTTGTAGAACTGAGGATTTAGATTTTTTGAGTTTTTTTTCCTAGGTTGTATTTGCATTACTATATATATTTCTCCAAGTCCTAGTTCTCCAGTTGTTTTAACATCACTTATTCAAGCTTCAGCCTTTGGACATCTCAGTTTTCCCTTGAGTTGGGGGACAGAAGTTATACTTCTCCTCTAATTCCGCAGAAGAGAGATTCAGTGTCGTTAAGTCATTTGGGCAACAACATTGATTATAAAACTACCATTGTCCACATGACATATTTCCCAACTCTGGAGGAGAGAAGGAAACACAAAAGAAGTGATGCTTGCTCTGAGGAATTTTAAGTTTTTTAGATAAGGTAGTGTTCTATCCTCTTATGAGTTTTTTAAGTCCTTTAGGGGAAAGGAGTAATATAAATTGATGATTTTTATTTCTTCATGCGTTGTCTTGTTGCCACTACTCCTTTGACCTCTTTTTTGTCTCTTGTGTTTAGTCATAGTGTTTCCTAATTATTTATTTTGTGTTTTCATGAAATAGAAAACCACTTTTTTAGAAATCATTCATTGGGACTATTCACTCAAGCTTTTAAACCCCTTGGTCACATTTAGGTAAAAAAAAAAAAAAGGGACGGGGGAGGCTCCTGTCTACCTTTCCTCATCGAGGATACCAGATGCCTCTTTCTCACTTCTGGTCAATCTGGAAACCTGGTGGACCATTTGAATTACTTAGAAAGGTTTTTAATGCTCTTGGAATTAAACATCATTTCTCCCGTGCAGAGAATATACAGAGAAGGTCTTATGGGAAATGACGTCAGGTTCAAAATAAGGTGAAGCTGATTTAAAACATTCTGCGTCCAAAATGAGACATTATTTAAACTGTAATGTACTTTGATTTTGTAAGTGTCCCAATATTCTTTATTCCTTTGTCTATCCCCAGCTGATTCTAAAGTATTAGCATACCTAAAAAGTCCCTCTAACTGAGGATTTGTCAACCTCAGCACCATGGACATTTGGACAGTCTCGCCAACAGGTAATTCTCTGCTGAGGAAACTGTCCAGTATGTAGGGTATTTAGTAGCATCCCTGGCTTCTACCTACTAGACGCCAGTAGCCAGCTTCAAGTTGTGACAATCAAAAGTGTCTCCAGACAGTACCAAATATCCCCTGGGGACCAAATTGGCCTTTATTTGAGGCCACTGATTGAACTCAAGCCTGTAAATGAAACCAGTTTTTCTTGTCAAGTGTCTCTTGACTAAACTTAACCTTGCCTTCCAATAAATCCAGCTCTGGTTCCATGCAGAGGAGAGACACTGGTGCTTAGTGGCCAAGACTGTGAACTTCATGGTCTGACAAACCTGGGTTTGAATCCTGATTCTGCTATTAACTAGGTGCTGACCTTGGATGTGATAGTTCAGCTCTTTGCATCTCAATTTTCTCATCTTTAAAAGTAGAAATAATGACATGTCTTTCATAGAGCTGTTGTGAGGATTAAATGAGGTGATGTACATAAAGCAGCTGGCGTGCAGCATGTACTAAGTGGTAGAAATTACCAGTATGCCCTTGCCCTCCTCTGTTGTTCCGTCCCCCACCTCCGCACATTCATACACATACACCCCAACTCCTATATTCTGTAATTCTCCCTCTCAGAGAAATTTCATGGCATGGAAAATTCCAACATTCTTGAGCTTCAGCTTGCTTATTAGTTTATTATCAAGCATTTTTAGTTCTCTTATAGAAATTTAGAGGCTCCCTGTGTGGGAACAGAAAGTTCCAGCAGGGAAGAGTATGCGCCTTACGGCCGGAAGTAGTATGTTTGGAAAGATTGGAAACAAAGGCAAGTCCCAGGCTTCCTGGCCTCCTCATTAAGAAAACGGATTAGACTCCCAGATAACTGCTTTGATAGAAAATTGGAAAATTATATCCCTCTCCTTTTATACTACTTTCTTCCTGTGACAACTCCAGTGTCACTTGATATGGACTTTAATCCTTCTCGGGCTCTTACCTGAATTATTGTGCAGGTTTACAGGTTTCACATGGTTGTTGTCTAGGTCACAGGACTGCTACGAGGATGAAATGTGAAATGCATGTGTAACCCTTGGCACAGAGCCAGGAATATACTACGTGCTCAGGAAACAATCGCTGCCATTGTTATTGCTGCTGCTTTTCTAATTGCTGCAAGAGAGCCTGTTTGATCGGTATGAAGCAGACCAGAAAGATCCCCAGGATTCTAGGCCAGTAGAAAGAGCTTTTGGAGGCTTTTCACTCTTCCTCATTTTATATCTGAAAGGTCCAAAAAGTATAGGTTACTCCATGGGCTATGCTGCCCTCTTCAGGGTTCCTAACCAGGCTTTGCTCTGGGGTCTGAGTAGTGGTGTTGCTTCCTATCTGCTTGGCATTGTGAGATAACTAAGTGATAGAAATTACCTGGCCAATATAAAACAGTAATGATTACAAATGTTAATAAATTCAAGTAAATAATACGTGATGGAAGCCATGAAATCATTTTAATAATAAGGCATGTTGGCTCAGTTCAAATCCTGCTTTCCTGTGCTTTGGAGTGGTCTTTAAAATATCATGTTAAAGTCTACTCCAAACACGTGGGAATTTTTCCCTTCAGGGTATGAAGGTACTGCTTCAATGGGGAGAGGCCCAGCTAAGCCTGTTAGTCTGGAAAGCACAGAATTGACCCCATTGGCTTGACCTCTGGGGCGGGGGCGGGTGGTGTCTTACAGGTCATGAAGACATATCACATGTACAATGCCGACAGCATCAGTGCTCAGAGCAAGCTGAAGGAGGCAGAGAAGCAGGAGGAAAAGCAAATTGGCAAATCGGTAAAGCAGGAGGACCGGCAGACCCCACGCTCCCCTGACTCCTCGTCCAACATTCGCATTGAGGAGAAGCATGTCCGGAGGAGCTCAGTGAAGAAGATTGAGAAGATGAAAGAAAAGGTATGTGCATGTGCTCTGGCAAAGGTAGGGGGTAGGGAGGAACAATCTGGAAGTCAGTCCTAATAGTAACAGAGGCAGAACAAGGAAGCTCTAGCTTCTTTTAGTGCCTAATAACCAAAAGTGAGTCCTTGCTATCTGCCCCAGAAGGAATCCTAGATATTTGGAAGAACCTGGGCACATGGGCTCCTGGTTTCTCACCTGTAGCAGATAAACAAGAACCAGTAGTCACCTTTCCCAAGCCTGGAAGGGGACTATAGACCGAGGGTTTGGCTTCGGTTGTTAGGTGCTCAGCGGCAGATGTAGTGACACCTCCTTCAGGGTAGCCATGCAAGGATGGAGAACAGTATTTGCAGATAGAACCAAAGTGGGACATGCATCTGAAGTCGGAAGCCTCATTAACCTTTCCTGGATTGATCTACATTATGCCCTTGAATCTCATTAAACAGAATTAGAACCCAATTTAAGGAATATGCGCACAGGGAGTAGCAAACAGCACAATTGTGGTTCTTGAATGTACCGTTCTTTCATCTTTTAGAGAACAGTCTCCTCTTTAATAAAAAAAAAAGTAAAATTGAACTTCTGTTCCCTTTTCAGCGCCAAGCCAAGTACACAGAGAATAAGCTGAAGGCCATTAAAGCCCGGAATGAGTATTTACTGGCTTTGGAGGCAACCAATGCGTCTGTCTTCAAGTACTACATCCATGACCTGTCTGACCTTATTGATGTAAGTGCTTAAAGCTGGGGGCTCAAGGGTGCCTCTTAACTGGTTTCAGAGATCTGGCCAGGCCTTCACCAGTTCTATTGCTCAGGCATCTCAGCATTTTTGAGAACAATTACGAAGGAGCCATGATCCATCAGGGGACTTGCCATGTACCAGATACGAGGCAAAGCACTTCACACTTTACCTCCTTCAGCTTTCACTAGAATCCTGGAAGGAAGGCATTATTATCTCTGTTTTTACAGATTAAATTCACAAAGTCCAGATGTCTTACCCAGACTCAGCTAGTAAGTAAGAGAGGCAAAAATTGTACCTAGGTCTGATTACTAACCCATGCTCTTAAGCATTATACAATTCTGTCTCCGTTAAATCAGCTATTTGCACATAGATGTGAGTGGCAAGCCCAAAAGAATTAGAATGGCATCCATTCCTTACATTTATGTAACACAATGTTTCTCAGTATTATCTTATTTGATTGTCATATGATCCTTTTGAATCAGTATTAGAATTCGTAAGAATTCTATTACTGAATCACCCATGCACTGACCTATTTTCATTTTGTAAATAAGGAATGTAGGGGTCAAGAGGGTTACCTGCCCAAATGTATACTGCAAATTAAGGTCCTGATCAGGAAAGTACCCAGATGTCCCTGACACCTGGCCCATACTCCTTGATAGGTGACACCAAGACGATGAGAGAAGTAGAATAGTAGGCACATGTTGGTTTGCATGGGGCAGACACAATGGGTAAGTTTTTTTACTTTGGCCTTATGGGTTGGCCTTATGGGTCATCCTTGGCCGTATTTCTCCTGCTGCTTCCCCTCAAACCCTGCAGTGGTTGGGTCTTGCAGTTCCCCACGCGTGCAGACTCCGATCTGACCCAATTCCTGAGCCAGCCCTGATAGGGGCTACTTAGGTACCATTAGAGTGAGGGGCCACAACCAGCTGACCTAGCAGCAGCATCTCCAGGGCTTCAGACAGATCCTGGCTAGTCTCCTGTCTGAGGCCTGATGTTTGCCTCTGGCTGTCAGCGGGCAGCAGCTGAACTTTGCAGGCCTCTGGCCAGACCTCTCCTACTTGCCTGCCTGCCTTGGTTTCTCCACGAAAAAACCTGTCACACTTCACAATATCATGTGGAGTTCTGGTCTAAGGTTTGCCTAACTCGCTGGGTAAGCTGGGGCTTGCCATGGAACTGTTTTGGAACTACCTTTGTCTCTCCCCTCCCCCGCCTCCCCTCCGGCAAACTGAAGAACTGGACTAGATCTAGACTTAGATCTGGACTTAAATCTGGTGTCACATCAGAATTGCTGTGAGGCACTTTTCTAAAATACTGATTCCTGCCTCCCTTCAGCCAGGGAGTTTTGACTCAGTAAGTTTCAGCCTCTTAATGTCCTGGGTGTCATTGTCTCACTGAGTAAGTGGAGCCCTAATCCCTGTTCAGGTTCCTCTTTGTTCTCTCTGCTTGTTGATGCCAATCTGAACGCTGTCCTTCAGTGGAGGTCAGAGCCCTAAACAGGATCCTTTTTCCTTCTCAGGGGAACTGCTCCCCGCTGGGAGGGAGGCCTCTTCGTAGCGCAAGGGAGAGAGTCGCTTGTTTCTTGTTCTCAATGTCTGCTGTTTGTCTCACCTTTGGTAAAAATCAGACAGCTGTAGTCCACCACACCTCTTCTTCTGTTTTGTCCTTCTTCTTTTGCCTCCAGGGAAATTTTGTTAGTCAATTTGCAATTCATAGACCCTCCAATGAATGTTGTTATGTGGGGTTTTTTTTAAAGATTTTTATTTATTTTTAGAGAGAAGGGAAGGAAAGGAGAAAGAGGGAAACATCAATGTGTGGTTGCCTCTCGCATGCCGCCTGCTGGGGACCTGACCCGCAACCCAGGCATGTGCCCTGACTGGGAATCAAACCAGCGACCCTTTGGTTCTCAGGCGGGCACCCAATCCACTGAGCCACCCAGCTACAGCAGATATTAATAGGTGTTTTAACATCAGTCTAAGAAGCAAGGTATTTTGTACCTGTTTCTCCTCATTTAAAGAAAAAATGTTAAGAGTCCGTCTTCACAGAATGCCAGGTGAAGAAGCCCGCCAGCCTCCTTAGTGCTCAGCCAGGCCATGGGTCTAGGTTACTGTGAGCAAGTCCAGGTTGCTAGCATTCCAGGCCACACAGATACTAAAGTGGCTCTTGTTTTATTTTGTTTGATGTTTGTTTTGTTTTTGTTTTTCGTAAGGTGAGGACAATTAATTACTCTTTAAGAAAGGCTGACAGCATTTTTCTGCTTTATAAATATTCAGTAAATGTTTATTTGAGATGAAGCTATGTGCTCAGCAGTAAGGGTACAAAAGGAATAAAATATTTCACCCTAGAGGTATTCATAGATATACAGATAATTTCTATGCAATGGGCTAATTGCAGCGCTAGAGGGAAGCCCAGGGGGCCCTAGGACAGTGTGTTTCAGACAGTAGGTCATGAGCCATTAGAGGGGTCGTAAAATCACTTTTGTGGGTTTGATTCATTTTTTTAAATTAATAAACTAGACTAGAATAGACTAGGAAAGAAAATCTCAGCATACCTCACACTGGTAAAGTTCAATTTTATTTGGTGAAACTGTTATGTTAAGTAAGTGTGTATGCTTGCACACCCATGGACCTGTGTGTGCATGTGTGTGTTACAAGGTAAGATATATTTCTTAATGTGAGTTGAGTGTCAAGAAAGTTTGAGAGTCGCTGTACTAAGACTAAGAGGAGAATCTCTTAGTCTCCTCTCTAAGCTCCGTGAGGGCAGGAACCAAGTCTTCTGTTTACCTTAATACACACATACGTAATACATATCTCCAGAGCTTTATACATGGCTGAGCACATGATGATTTCTTAAGCCAAGATTTTTTTTTCCTATTTGTGCCTTTTAATAATGTTCTGAGATAAAATTTACATACAATAACTGAACTTAAGTGTTATAGTTTCAAAAATTGTGATACATTCATATATCTCTAGGTACCTATGTAACCTACATCTCTATAAAGATACAGACTATTTCTTTCACCTTAGGAAGTTTTTCTTTTCTCTTCCAGGCAATTCCCCTCCCCAAGGAAACCACTGTTCTGAGTTTTTACTGTAAATTAGTTTTGCTTATTCTAGAACTTCACAAAATGGGATTTTATAGTATACGCATTTTTTTGTATCTGGCTTCTTTTGCCCAGCGTGATGTTTTTCAACTTAATCTACATTATCGCATATGTCAATAGTTATTTCCTTTTTCCTGCTGCTCTATGCAATAAAAATGGCCAAAAGGTTGCTTTGACAATGAGCCAAGAGCACAGAAGTGAGCGGTGAGCCTGGGCACCTTGGCCTTCTGATCTTGACAGTATGCAGAACTTGTTTTAAGACATGGGATGAATCTTGTTCCAGTCTATGCCATCTGTGTGATGCCGCCTTCCTAGTGGGTGGAAGCTCAGTATATGCTGAAGACATTGAGGATGAGTGAAAAGAAGTTATTTTTATCAATGCCAGTGCATTGGCACAAGGACTAGCCTTTGCCTTCTTTTTAAAATATAATATACGATTTAAACTCAGACTGTAGCAATCCGTGGGAGGCATTTGACACACACCAAGAAAACCCAACTTCAGGGCAAAAGGACATTCTGAGCTGACCTGATGGAGTCTAAGAGCGCCAGGCTCGTTGGAATGTGGTATTCCTCCCCCGCACTCCTGTGGCTCTCTCACCCCAGGAGCAGATGGGTGCATGAAGAACAGGGCATTGTGCTCATGCATACCTGGGGGGTTGTACATGCTCTGTCCATGGGTAGAGAATCTGTGACACCATGTGTACCCAAGTCAGACATGAGGGAACTTGGCTTTCTGAATAAGAAATTTTATAAAGGGCAGTTACGATTCTCTTCTGTGTGAACTTGAAATGAACATTATGAAACACCCTAGGCCTTCTTCTCTAGAGGCTGTCGGCTGGTAACGGGTTAATAAGCTGTCAGCTCAAGTCATCACACATCTGGATAGGCTATCATTAAATTCTTATAAAAATTCGATTTCCCCTGGCAGAGTTTCATCAAACATTTATATAATCCAGAAATGGCCAAGGGAGCCTGGTGTGGCCACAGAACTCATCAAAAGCCATGGAAAGCATACTTTGGTCCCATCATGAGCAAAATATCTGCCTCAACTCACTGGGATTCTTTTGGGAGTAGAGATGAAATACAGGGTGGGGCAAAAGTAGGTTTACAGTAGTTCGTGTGGACAATAATATAATAATAAATAATAATACAAGAGTGAACTTTGTGTTTTGTGTACTCACAACTGTAAACCTACTTTTGCTTCACCCTATATTCAAATCTCATTTACCTAACCCTGCCAGAAATTGCATCTTTGCTAATGCCTTGATTTCTAGCTATTCCCTTTTAGATATGCGGATAGCCAAGGCTCTGGAAAACCTATCTTGCATCTCCCTGGTTAGCTGGAAGTATAGAGGAGCCAACAGGCACATTGTGAGTTGGCACGGAGAAGCTATAGAATAAGTATGTAACTGAGGCATTGGACTGGCCCAAGCAAGCTCCCTGCCTTCCATAGGCCATACAGGGTAAGCAACATAAAAGGCTTCAGTAGCTGTATCTACTCACTTAACTTAGATTCATATGCAGCCTAAGTGGGGTGTTTCCTAAGAGCCTGGAAACTGTACTCCTGGCTTCAGTCAACCCACTGATGTCTATTAAATACCTACCATGAGCAAGGCCTAATGGTGAGGGATTTAAAGGCATTGGCGAAGCCCTCTTTGAAGCTTGCCTTCTGGTAGGAGTGATATGAAATGGCAAGTCACAAAATGAGGGAGCGTATTCTATGTCATATGAGGGCTGCTGATGAGTGTGGTTCTGAGTAGAGGCCAAGGTCAGTACATGCCAGGGTTACAGGACTGTCTGGCTTCCCACAGGATGCCAGTTTAATTTGGATTTTGAAGATTGGCCCCAATTGCAACAGGTGAGAGGAGTGGGAAACGTTTCAAGAAGAAAAAATGCTGGAAGCTGAAGAGCAGAGGTAGTGAATTTGGGAATAGTGATGACAGGTATCAGTGTCTGCATGGTGCCAGGTATATGTACAGATAGTGCCTGTTACTGGCCTCCCAGTAACCTATGAGGCTGGTGTTATTCCCATTTGAGGCTCAGAGACCTTAAGTAGCTTGCTCATTGTCATACAGCTGAGTGAGGCCTATGGTTTTCCAATATACTACCCTAAAAAGAGAGTATGTCATTGAAATAAAGCAGAAGGGTTTGAAGAAGAAGCTAGAGAGAGATGATGTTAGATGGTCAGACTGTAGAGATTACAATTTGTTCTGGCCATTGACCTCACTCAATTTATTTAACTTCATTAAGTCTCCTCGTCTGGAAAATTAAGATAAGACCAACTTCATTGGGGTTATTATGAGAATTGAAGTCTAGAATGTACATAAGCACTTAGCACACTGTCTGGCGTATAGTAAGGGCACTTAGTAAATATAGAGGCATTTTAAAAATTTCCAAACTGAGGAAGGTGATCTTTAATTTAGGGGGGGAAAAATAAGAGCTATTATAGGTTCTGCAGCAGGAAAGTGAAGCAGACGGCACTGGTGTAAGGTGTTAAGGGTATAAATTAGGATCGAGATAGGGAGAGTGGAGAGAAAATGGGAATTAGCAAAAACATGTAAAAGTTTATGAAGGGCACCTGCCTCCCCCTAAATTCTCTTCTGCACTAAAAAGCTCAACCCCCATCCCCACCCCCACACACTTCCTCAGTCCTGTGGGTAATATTACTTCTGTTCGTTAGCTTATAAGCCTGCACTCACAGGCATAGGAGGGCTTACAGGTTCAAGGGCAGCCTGGCTAGACCAGCAGGTCTCCCAGAGGAGGAAGGGCCTCTGCACGTGCAGCCTCCCAATCAGCCGCTTTTGTCTAGCTTCCATTTGCCCTTCCCTCTCGCCTGAATTTAATGTCTTTCCATCCTCTGCCTCTAGTTAAGCTGTAACTGCTGTTCTGCTGCCGCAGCCAGGCACCTGCCAGAGTCTGTTGGCACTGAACCCAGAGCCCAGCCTGACACACACACTGTCGCTGAGCTTCTTGTCAGACACTGGGAGCAGGAGGCACATCACATGCTCTTTTCCCCCCCAGTAGTGGCTGCTCCCAGTGTGATTGTGATGAAGGGGATGAAGGGGAAAGACTGGGGGAAGAGTTCATTTGATACCTGCTGATGGAAAGAAATGACAGTCAAGCAGATGGTCTTACTCTATCCATGGATTCTTCTCTGACATGTCTTCTCGGGTTTTGGGTCTCAAAGCTGCTTGAGCAATAGAGGGGATAATGGATGACCAAGGAATTAAGATCTCTGGGTCCTTTGGGAGGGATGAGGAACATAGTCAGAGTTACAGAATGCTATTGTTGAAGAGGGCTTTAGGGATTATATTTCGTCCAAGTATTTTCAGACTTTTTCTCTAGCAGAAGAATTCTTTCTTCACACCAGACCTTACACAGAATCCCAATTTATTAAATAGAAAAAAAGAGCAGAGTTGGTTCTGTTGAAGCAAGGATAGGAGACTCCAAGTCCTACTAGTTGGCCTGCCCTTTTACCCCTTCCCAAGGGCAGCCTGAGAAGATTCTGGCACAGAACCGTAGAGCTCTGGTCTACAGCTTGCAAACCACGGACATGGCCAAATCCTTTCATTTTATACTTGAGGAAACAGGTTCAGGGAAGGGGGTGACTTTTCCAAGGTTGCTGACTTCCCATCCAGTGCTTTTTTTATACTGTTGCTTCTACCACACTGGGTTGGGTTTTGTTTTTTTTTTGCGTTTTGCATTTTGCTTTAGGAAATCAAATACTTTACATGAATTTTCCCAGTAAGACTTATGTTTAGAAATTTTTGACCTGATAAATGCTATTTTTATAGGGAAGAAGCTTTAGTGCAGAAATCCTAGTCTGCAACCACAGCCTGTTCTAGAATGTAGGGAGCTGGTGGGGGTAATGACTGACAGAGTCAGCTCCCCCGTCTCCTCTCCCACCTAGAGTATTCTGAGTTTGTGTAATTAACTGTTCTTGGAACACTTCTCACTTCTCAGCTCTGAATGTGGAAATGGCCTGGCTTGGTTGGTATGTAGTGACTTAACCACAGTAACCCTGAGAGAGTGGCAGGCTGTATTTTTGTTATTGAATTTTGTTGTAATAGTATCCCCAGAGAAACCTGAAAATGTAAGAGGATCCCTTTAACTCTAAACTCTTCTCTTGTTTACTGAATAGCACTGTAAGTGCATGATTAAATAATTTTATTTTGTCCTAACAAGTCCTCTTTCTCCTAATCACCTCGTAGTCCTCTAAGTTGTGTTTTACCATTGAAATGTGAGTTAAGAATTGAGAAATCTCACTTAAGTCTTGCCAGTCAGAATGTCAGCCTTCTTCCAGCTGCAGTCAGTTTCATGCACGTGGCCAGATCTGCTCTGGAAGCGACCCTCCCTTCCTGCCAAGCCGTGGGGCTCCCCAGGGTTTGCTCATGTGCTCTCCTTTCCACAGCAGTGTTGTGACTTGGGCTACCATGCTAGCCTGAACCGAGCGCTACGCACCTTCCTCTCTGCCGAGTTGAATCTGGAGCAGTCGAAGCACGAGGGTCTGGATGCCATCGAGAATGCTGTAGAAAACCTGGATGCCACCAGTGACAAGCAGCGCCTCATGGAGATGTACAACAATGTCTTCTGCCCACCTATGAAGTTTGAGTTCCAGCCCCACATGGGGGACATGGTGAGGCCTTCTTCCCCTCTCCGCCTTCCCCAAGGGGCTTGAGATCACTTGGGTCTAGACTCAGTATACTAAGGCCACGTTATTCTGGGGAGAGTAAGGCCTGGGGCTTCCTGTCAGGTGAGTAAGGCACACTCCACTCATTCAGCAAATAGCTGCTGAGTGCCTACTGCCCCCTGGGCTTGACCACCACAGACGTGGGGAATTAGAGTCCATTGGACCTTCCGGTCTGGGGAGTTGACTTTGAGGATTAGAGTCCTCAGGAGTTTCCAGTCTGGGGATTTGAGAGAGAATTAGAGATATGCATAAGAAGGGGCACCCAAAGGGACCGACAGGATCAAAGGAGTGAAAACCAGCAGGTATGTTCTAAAAACTACTAGCAGTTTGGTAATGGTGAAAGGAAAAGGGAGAGGGGGGTCCAAGTGGTAAGGGTGGAAGAAGCGAAAGCTGAGATGGGCCAGATACTGAAGGCTCTATGGGGAGGGAGGGCTCCGCAGAGTGGTGATGTGATCATTTGTTATTTGGCAGAGTTCTGAAAGATCTTATTCTCCTAGGTTTAGAAGATTGCAATAATCAGTGTAGCTTTGCTTGCATATTGAACAAAAAAGAATGGGTACCTACGAGAAGGACAGGAGCTAAGATGTTATCCTGAAGGTCTGTACTGGTTGCCCAGCCACGGGAACCTGAACATGGGGGCCCTCTTTTGGACTTTACACCTTCAGTGACTAGAAGAAGGGGCTAACTAAGCCAAAGTGAGAGGACAGAGAAGGTTCTTGGTTTCCATTACTGTGTATCTTTTGATTCCACTTCTGGTGGTTGTACACACAAATCAGAGTGAACCTTATCCCTGTGGGTAGGGGCCGCCATTTAACCTACCGCTTAAATCAAAAGGAGGATGTATAGTCTTACATAACAAAAGCTCAGGTGTGGCTGGATTTAGGAGGAGGGATTTTGTGAAGACTCGGTTTTTATCTGACTGCTCCAGGTCCTTGGTGCTGGCCCTATTTTCAGATAGGCTGTTTTCCTGTGGGGGCAAGATAAATCTATTCCAGTCTTGTCTTTTTCTAAGGTGAAATCCAGTGGAAAGGTAACTGCTTACCTCCTAGAAGCTCCCACAAAAGTGTCATTGGTGTCTTCTTGGTTCTGATTGGATGACTTGCTTATCCCTGAGTCAATCAGTGTGGCTAGGTCTCTGTAGTCAGCTGACTGACTTATATTCCATCTCCTTGGTGAGGAGAGCCCCCACCCAAAGCACATGCCAGAGTTGTGGAGTGGGGGGGTCCCCCTGGAGGACAGTCAGGTCAAAGTTACCAGAAGGAGGGATGGATGCTACATGACCAGAACACAACAGTGTCCCCTCAGGAAGGGACTGGTGCTTCCATTTGAATTAGCATCCAGACCTCTTTAGTAAGCCCTAGGCCAGAATGACAACTGTTGCAGTGTAACCAGAGGGTTTGCTGTCATCAGTTGGCCACTGTGGAGAGTGGGACATTTCTATCTTAGAGACAAAAATGTGGAGATGATTTCTTTCCTCTCCTTTTTGGGAAAAACCAAGCCATTTACAGTTTGTTTCCATGGCTGTGGCTTAGGAAATGTCAGCGTCTGAACATATGGGAGGAAGTGAGACGGCAGCATGTGCAATTAGAGTTGGGGAAGGAGTGTCACTAAACCCCAGGAATCCCCATTCCTCACCTGCCCTGGCTTCTTGCCTTCCAAGCCCCTTCTCCAGCTGCCACTGAGATTTCTTCCCAAGAATCAGTGGAACTTGGGAACTAGCTGAGTGGAGTGATACATTTTCTGGTGTTGACTGAGTTGCATTCTGAGCCAAACAGCTTGTCTCCATAAAGGGGGAATCCAAATGCTGGGTGCTCGGGCCCCCTCCTAGCCCTGTCAGAGCCTCATTTCCATACTCCAGAGCACAGCTGGAATGCATTACCTTGCACCCCGGTAGAGGACCACTGCCAAAGCATGTATCAGCAGCCCTGCTGCTTCTTAAAGGAACAGGGCTGGAGGTGGTTTTCTCTCCACAGCTGCTCCCTGCTAGGTCTGAGTTACTTTAAAAATCAATAGTTTACTCTTCTGCCTAGGCCTCCCCTTTGTGTGATGTAGCTGGTCAGTGGCGGAGTCAGGCAGGGGCCAGGGCCAGTCCTAGGTCTTGCAAAGATTCTGCAATCCATTCTAGCCTTTATATGAGTGGAAAATAAAAAGGGGGAGAGGGTGAGTCTTTCTTGGTCCCTGCAGCCAGTCTGTCCCATCAGTGTGGGTTGTCTGTAGACTATAGAGGCAGCAAGAGGGAGCTGCCTGGAAGTCTTTGTACCAGGGCCAAAGGTCGGGTGGCATTTTGACCGGAAGCCCTGAAGTTGGCCAAGACCCCACACTGACCGGCGTTCTGAGGCACTCAGCACATGAATTGATGCCGAGCATTCTCAGATGTGCTAGGAGTCGGTGCTTGGCTCTACTGCTGGTGCCCACAGGGGCTGGGGGGGGCTCTGGATGCCTGACCAGTGACATCAGGCAGCCAGAGAGTTTTACTCTTGGCACTAACCCATCCTGGCCACCGAGCTTTCTCCAGTGTGTCTGCTTATCCCAGAGCCCTAGAGAAGTCAGCTCTCTCTAGATCTGAGAGCTGGCTGAGACCAGCCTCTCAGTTGAGGGAGGAGGCCAAGTTAGTTGGGAGCTTAAAAGCTAGTGGAGGAAAAGGTCAAGTCCCATTCCCCTCAATTTGAAGAGAGGTTTTGTCTTTTAGAGCAAGGGAATGGTTTGTGGGCATATAGATGTGCCCACTCATTGCTAGGAAAGAAAGGCCAGTTCTATCCACATGTGTCTCCACAGATGAATGGCTGAGGGACACATGGTGGCAAGGTGACAGGAGCTGCCTCCTTGTGGGTCCTTCCTCCCAGTTCGTCAGGTTTCTGTTCCTAATCTGTCATCCTGAGGACTCTGGGTGACCTCATGTCCATGCCATAGCCATGGCATCATCAGGAGACAGTGGTTCAGCCATTCCTACACAGGGGAAAGCTTACTGACAATGATCCTTGAGGAAACTAGACTTCTCTCCCACAATTCTGGTGAACATCTAGTGTAAAATGATAGCTCTTTGAAAATGCCAAGTTCCACCAGGTTCCATGCTCTCTGCGGCCCTCTACCATAGCCTGTGGACTTGTTCCTGGCTTTACACTTTCTCTAATTGAGTCAGAGCTCTCAGGCCTGGCACAGATTTATAAACACATGCTGACTGCCAGCAGCAGCAAGTTAGCCTCCTGACCCACTTCTCTTCTGCTTTCCCTCTGGTGCACAAAGAGGCATGAGGGGGAGGGGCCAGAGGTGGCCACTTGAACATCTAGCAGGAAATCCTCCTGATGCCAAAGTATTGTATATCTGGAGCTAGGACTGCCCAAGGCAGTCCTCTCTGGCCTAACTTCGGCTTCCATGGAGCCACAGACCCTGCATAGACCTGCCTCTGCCAAGCACCAGTCTAGAGATGAGCTCAAAGAGAGGCCTGGTCATTCCAAATGGATCCAACTCCTCATTCTTTTCGTGTTATTTGGTCCTGGAGGAAATCCACACACTTTGGTGTTGGATTTTGTTTTAACATAGAAACTGTGAGCCTTACGGCTTGAATATGTGTAGTTTTATTTAGCAGTAATGGGACTCTGGAACTACCAAAATACAGTGTCCTCTTCTTGACCTGGTATTACTTGGCTTTTGTCAGGCTTCCCAGCTCTGTGCTCAGCAGCCTGTCCAGAGTGAGCTGGTACAGAGATGCCAACAACTGCAGTCTCGCTTATCCACCCTGAAGATTGAGAATGAAGAGGTAAGTTTCCTGCTTAAGAGACTCAGAGCTGCCTCCCGAATTTCCCGGTTGAACTTCTTGTTGCCGTGTATCTGGGAGCGGTGGAAGGAGCACGCAGAGAATGTCCGGGCTGCCGCAAACGTTTCCTGGCCAAACGTAGGCTTGGATTTTCCCCCTCTGCTACATCCTGCCCTTGAACTCCAGGAAGTTGCTCTTGCATTGCCAAAGGTTGAGCTCTATTTTGAGCTTTTGCAGAATGCTTCCCCACACGCACACACACACATTTAATCAAAATGGCCCTTGGCAGCTGAGTGAACAGTATTGTGTCTCTGAAACCACCCCCTCCTGCCTGACTTTGTCCAGGGTTTTCAACAAACAGAGGCTTTCGACTTTGACACTTCAAACATCTCTGTCCTTTTAGGAAAGGGTGACTTTCTCCTGGGCCCAATATATTTGCTTTCAACAGCCAACTCAAAAGGGCAATATCATTCATTATCAGAGCTCCTTTCTTTTGAGCTCACCTAACTTCTTTCCTGACATCTTAGTAAGTCATACTTCTCCCAGGAAGATTAGGAAGGACTAGGGATGGGTCTCTTAGTTTACAAATGGGGAAACAAGTTCATTGATTTGTTGAAAGTCATGAAACAGAACCTGAGGCATTCCAGGGCCATGCCCATCACACATTTTAACCAGCTCTTTATTTGGGGGGTTGGTATGAATTTGTTGTATTCTCTTTCTCCCATAGCACTTCTATTATAGTCTATTATATTAGACTATAACCTATAATTAGACTATAGTCTATTAATTAGACTCTAATAGACGATAATAGACGTGCTAATATAAATGTAAAAAGTAAACATTAGATAAAAGAACTGGGTCAAGTATGTAGCCCAAAGGGTATGGTGGTTCTTAGGTCCCCCCTGGAGAGTGTAGCACTCGGTCCCACAGTCCTTGTGGTTTTCATCACTCGCTTAAGCACTGTCCCATGGGACGCAGAGTTGCACCTCTGGCGGCATCCTCCCTCCCTCCTCAGCCCACCCCTTCTCCCCCTTCTCCAAGCTTCTCCATCACCTGCCCCTCATGCATTATGTTGGCCCTTACTGCGGCAGGTAAAGAAGACAATGGAGGCCACTCTACAGACCATCCAGGACATTGTGACTGTCGAGGATTTTGACGTGTCGGACTGCTTCCAGTACAGCAACTCAATGGAGTCCGTCAAGTCCACAGTCTCAGAAACCTTCATGAGCAAGCCCAGCATTGCCAAGAGAAGAGCCAACCAGCAAGAGACAGAGCAGTTCTATTTCACGGTGAGGGAGCTTGATAGCCTTTAAAGATCACCTTTAGGAAGTGTGGCACACGAGGAGATTGGAACTTGGGGTCCTTGTCAAGTGTCTGAAGGGCAGTCTTTAAATATCCTAGATTTAGGTCTGGGCATATTCAGAGACTATTCCTACACTTAAAGGCACAAACATCTACAAGTTGTATGTGTCTTAACAGGGACCCCCAAGAGAAAGGATGCTCCCAGGTATACTACCACGAAGATTTCCTCTTTAACCACTTAGTAGGCTTTTGTTTGAAAATTTCCTTTTCAGCCATAGAGGGTCATGGGTCATGGGTCATGAAAGGGGGCTTAACATCGCTTAGTTCTTGGGAACTACATTCAAATATTCTGGCTGACACATGTCTTGTTTTTAAAGTCCGTAGTCTCTTTTAGGTAGTGTGATGACCTTATTTTATTTATTTATTTATTTTTGTTAATGGGAAATTCTTCTTCATAATTATTGCTAAAATGCAGAGGGACAGGTAATTATTGTTAAAATTGAGGGGGACCGGCAGCATTGGTGGTTTACAGAGAATTCCAAAATGTTGTATTTTGTTATTCATGTATCTCCCAGTCTCTTGTTAGACAGATGGACCCAGTGTTTTTTAAATAGTGTTAACAGCCTCATGAAAGTTGCTGGCTGGTCTTTGGTGCTGCTTTTTAATAATTAAGTTATTTTGAGCTTGCCAAGTAGGATTTATTGCCTGGACTAAAATTTATTTTCTAATCTTCTGATGGCCAAGAAAGGAGAAATTAAGTTTGCAGATGTGAGATGAAATATAGCCAGTGAATATGCATACTGATTCTGAATGAGAGAAATTAACTTGTTTTTCAGTCGAGAAACACAGCCTACATGCAGTAAATTGACTTTTTCCTCCAGCTAGAACAATTTATTTAATTTTTCTTTGCACACTGCCCTTTCTTCATTAAGAACACTAGTGATTTGCTATCTTTTTAAAAAAGAAATCTATTTTTTTATTTAGTTAAGCTCAGAATTCTTAGGGTTTTTTTCCCTTGAAGAAAACTGTTGAAAGGGGAATTAACAGTATTATTCTTTAAAATAACTTGTTTTCTTATTATACAAAGCAACAGATGCTTATAAAATTTAGAAGCAAAAATGAAGAAAATAAAAATCATTCATAATCTCACTCACTATCTAGAGATACTAGTCTTAGGATACATGCACACCCAAACACACATCTAAGCATGCATTTATAATTTTATTACAAATAAATGGAATACTGTATACATTGTTTTGTAATCTACTTTCATTTACCAAATGATTAACATTTTCCTAATTATAACATTTTTGAGTGAAATACTAAAATGTATACAAAGAAATAATGGAATGGCATTTCGGCTCATTCATTAATTTTTGTAAAATATTTAGCACGTTGCTTGGTTTGTAGTTCTCACTAATTGCTAAAATTTATTATTGCCATTATCATTATCTATTAATCATTAAATTAATCATTGATCATTTATTGAGGATCTACTATGTGCTATACACTGAGAATGATGGGGTTAGGCATATGAAGGGAGAACTTTCTAAACATATATTTCTAAACAGGTATGACAGGTTGATTTTTGTAATTAAAAAGGTATAGGTATATAAAAATTTTAAAATGCATGCATGCACAAAGTACACTTGCAAGAATGGTGACCAGGAAGAATGGAGCTGGGGAAACATCACACACAAAGTGGTTTTATGTTCGATCTTGGAGGAGGAATGAAGCAGGCGGTGAATCAAGAGGAGAATGGCATTCCCTGAGGAAAGAGCAGCATGTGCAAAAGCATAAAAACATGCAAAAGCCTGGGTTAGCGATTAAGAGAACTTATTGACTGTAGTGAGGGCTGCGTTGCCGCCCAGGCTTCGTTATCTCTGGAGGTTGTTAAGCACTGTAGAGGCTTTTAACAATAGGATTGTTTGGCTGGTCTGTCAGGACTGCTTAGATATAATAGTACTTAAATGACACAGTCACATTACAACGTAGGAGATTTCCATTTTTTTGATTAAATAAGAAATTTTGGACTTAAAAATCTGTATTGAAGACTGTCAGGATTACTTTTTGGCTTTAAATGAACCTATAACACTTTTATTCAAAGTCGACCTTCACTAAGAGCAAGAATAACCACATTCAAACTGGTGACCTCTCAAATCCTGCCCACCCTTCACCTCTGTCTGTATTGATGTTCTCTAACCCATTTCCTGTCTTTTGTGACCAGAGTGCTACTCATCAAAATTGTGTGCAAATTTTCTTGGCTAACAGGAACTTTTTTTTTTTTTTGTCTGGGCTTGTCAAGTAACAGATTTACAGGAGAGTGTATCATTTTTGTGACTGGTGCTTGGAATGTGTCAGATAATTCATTTTATGATAAATGGCTTTGGGGGGTGTGGTAAAATGGACATTCATGAAAAGAGGACGTGCATGTTAAACAGGATGGCTGCCTGTGCCTGCCACACCGCACGAAGCCAACGCAACTGCACATGGGCTGTTTTTAGTTCCTTGTCTCCACAGATGTTGCCATGTTTTTCCCTGTGCCCTTCAAAAATGGCAGAATAGCACATCCTGTCAGCTCTCTTCGTTTGGGAAGTTGGGAAAAGGCCCCTTGTCATGCCTTTGAGTCCTAGGTAGTATGCCTGGTGACCCAGAGAGCTGCTAGGAAAGCTCTGGCCACTGTCAGCTGTCGTCAGATTGATCTGCTCAGAGGACCTCAATTGGAAATTTGAAGCATGACCTAAAAAGGCCAGTCATTCACTGGAGTCCCAGGAAAATAATCATGGACTTTTAAAGCTTGAAATGATTCTTAAATATCATCTAACCAAACCTTCTCACTGAAAGAATTAAAAAATAAAAATAAATCCAGAGAGGATGGGGAACTTGTCCAAGGAACTCAACAAGAGCTGAAACTAGAACTCCTATTGCCTGGCCTTGAGCCACAGGCTTTTTCTCTCCAGCCTGCTGAAGAAGCTGGTATGAAGGAAAGCTTTAGAAACGGCTCAGCAACTTTCTCTTCTTTGCCCTAAGTGAGGAGATGTGTCCTGATCTACTTGGCTTTGTATCACTTGTCTTCTATAACACACAATCCAGCGATGTCTACTTTTTTTTTCCCATTGCCATTTTTACTGCAATTGTATAAAAAAAGTAGATTTTTTTAAAGATGCAAAGATTTCAAAATAGCATACAGAAAAAGTCAAGCTCCTACCCACCCACCTCTGATCCTCACATACCTTTACTTCTGACAAGTGATTGGAATTGGTTTATTTTGTGCTATTCCAGAGATACCCTGAGCATAGACTACCATTGACATACCCTTCAATACAATAGAATTACATTAGAAATGTAATAAAATAAATAGAAATAAAAGTATACTACTTATACTGTTCTTTTCTTTTTTTACTTCATTTACTTGGGATATTATTTTTACATTCGCCCAGAAAGATCTGCCTCCTTTTTTAATGGCTGTGCAGAGTTCCAATGTATGGGTGAACGCACCGTCATATATTTAACTGCATCCCTGCTCGTGGCCAGTAATGCTCACTGGTTAGCCGCGGATTGTCAAAGCCTGTAGGTCTGGCATTTCTCCTGAGTATTTCCCTGTATGGGGGTTGGAGTAGGGAAGGGATTAAGAATTACAGCTGATAAAATAAACAAATAGACTGCCCGACTTCGTGGGGACTGATTTAGGTAAGGTAGTAGGAGGGGAGTTGATGCCTTGGCCATTGGGACAGTGCTCTCGGTCTAGACTTGGACCTTGTGGTCCGAGGTCGTTTTTAACCTTGCTACTCTCCTGCGGGCATTCAGTAAGAGTGTTCTAAGCAGGTACAAATGAATGACTGCCTCAGCGTTGTCAACTAAAGTGGGGACATGTGCTCCCATTTAAACGTTTGCTGTATTATTTATACTGTATGGCAGCTGTCTCCTGCTTTAAAAATTCACAGGGAGGAGGGAAAATGTGGATGTGCCTGGATGGTGAGGAAGCAGCCACTCTAGTGACATCTGTGTATCTCTGCACATGGGGCTGGCTGGGCCTAGTTCACTCCTCTACTCACCCCACCCCCTTGCAGAAAGGGGTGCTTACGGCCCTGGCTTCACATAGATTAAATCCAAGGCATAAGGCCACAAGGCACAGGAGTTTTATACCTCCGTGGTAAGCATATTTAAAGTAAAGGGGCACTTAAAATTGAATTCGCAAATCACTCTTTAGCCTCTCCATTAAAAAAAAAAAAAGACTAGAAATCTGCTTTGATTCATCTTTGTTATGTATTAGTGCAAAGCAAAGAAGTTGAGGGAAGGACTGTTTTTAGGTTAACTGAGCAGGTGACTCAAGTATAAGGAACACTTTTGCATACCTGCTAGTTGCTGGACCCTGTGCTAATAATCACAGTCATGCTTGTTATCCTACTTCATCTTCAACGACCTGTGAAAAAGATAGTATTATCCGTAGTTTTCAGATGGGGAATCTAAGACTCTGGAGAGTAAGTGACTTGCTCAAGGTAAGAAGACTTAGTAAATGGTGGTAGAATATTCCAACCCAGGCATTTCCATTTTACTGCAACCAAAACCTCAAGGAGGGAGGGCTCAAAGAGAAAAATTAGTACTATGCTAATACTTTTCAATGAATAAACTTAACTGTTGACAGTTGATAACCAGTTGGGAATTTACGGAGAAGTAAATTGAGCCATGGCTGGTGTAGCTCAGTGGGTTGAGCGCCAGCCTGCGAATTGGAAGTTCACAGGTTCAGTTCCCAGTCAGGGCCCATGCCTGGGTTGTGGGCCAGGTTCCCAGTTGGGGCATGCGAGAAGCAACCGATTAATGTTCTCTTGCACATCGATGTTTCTCTCCCTCTCCTTCTCCCTCCCTTTCCTTCTCTCTCAACAATAAATAATAAAACCTTTTGAAAAATAAAATAAAATAAGAAATAAATTGAGATCATAAAAATGAAATTGAAGGTTCACAATGGCCAAAAACAAAACCACCCAATAGACTCTCTCTGCCTTCCTACTTTTTGAATAAATTCTCAGCTTTGCTCATATTGAGTGTAAAATTAGAGGGAGGATGTGACACTGGTTAGACTATGTTTAGGAATTTTAATTTTACTGTGGTGATCGAGAATAGCATGCTGCACTTTCTTTTCTCCTCCACTGAGGAAAACACCAGGCCATCCCTTTGTTGTTGGATGTTTGTTGAGGGGAGTAGGGTACAGGAAGTGGAATGAAAAAAATCACTTACCTATTACTGGGACACACTTTAAATAAGGAAAGCAACCTTCTTGTCCAAGGAAGGGATTTTGAGATTACACATAAATAGTTCTTTTCGTGGCCCCCTGGTCTGCAGAAATCATTGAAAAGCCACCTATTCCTCCCTTTCCTACAACTGTCTCACCTCTTTTCTCTTGTGTGTCGAGTCATCAGCGGCTGAAGCTTTAACTCAACTTTATCAGTAAAAGCAAGGTTATTTCTCCAGCTTCTCTCTCATACAGATGAGTGCTGGCTGTGGGTGGGACAGAGAAGTGATAGATAACATGCCTACCAACTCTAGGATGCGTTTATCTTCCCAAACCTGGCTTACCTAGATGGAAAATTTCCAACCGTTGTTCCCAGCGTTAGAGATGCAGGTCATACCTTGACACAGTTTCCATCCTTCAGGATTTGATGGAACCCAAAAAAGGTAATCCATCATACCTCTTATGAGATTATTATTTATTTTAATGGCCCACCAAGTGACAGCCAGAGCTAACTGGTGAACTGTGAACATGAAAGGAAAAAAATGATTTCCGGAATCACAAGTAGAAACATGAGTGAGAGGAAGGAATTTGCAACCATCGCCTTTCAGAATTTTGACTGTTTTCTAAGCGGTCTGGTCTTGTTATAAGGGTTACAGTGTCTTGGTAAATTTTCCCTCATTAGGAAACCTGAGTCCGTCTGCCGGGATAATCTTCCAAACAGGGGCCTTGAGGATTCCGCCGCTGGCAGTAGGCGTTTCCCTGCAGGTGTTTCACCTCTGAGCCCTGTAGCGTGGTTCCAAACCCCTGTGGGGCACCGGTTGGGGAACAGACAACACCCAGGGAAGGCTGACAGCAGGCGAGCTGGCAGCTGGAGCAGATGGAAAGGGGAAGGTGACAAAGAAGCATATTTTCATGCAGATGATCTTGTGCAAAAGCACAAAGGTGCAGGGAAACAGATCCTGAGTAAAACAACGGAATTGAGTGGGTATAAGGTTTATTTTTTGTTTGTTTGTTTTATTCTTGACTTAGAGAGTAGGAGCACACTTGGAGGCTTGGTTTATGACTGCTCTGGAAGGTTCTATCCAGATGAGAGTGAGACTGTTCATTCAAGTACTCCAAGCATTTATTGAGTGTCTTCTATCTCCTGGGCACAGTACTAAGCACCAGGGATGCCAAGAACAACGAATGTTGTGGTCCTGACCATAGGAAGGAATCAGTCTAAAGAAAGACATGAGTAATAAACGCTCCGTAGCAGGACTGTGTGAGAGGTGCTGTCATGGAGATGAGCAAAGGAGTGCATGGGAGCCTCTGGGTGAGCATGGGAGGGCCAAGGGGGGCCTCCCATAGAAAGCGGAATTTTTTCTTTGTTTTTAACAGGAGAAAAAGAGAGGGAGAGAAAAGAAATATCCTTTCTTGGTTAAAAGTTCATGCTATACAGAAAGGTATCAAGTAAAAGTAACTCACATTTTTTCACCTTATTTTTTTCTGTCTTCATCCTAAGTGGTAATAGTCGTAAAATTAAAGCCTTGATGTATAATTATACTTTTTGTTTACTACATTGAAAGACGGAACTATTATAATTTAAAGTGTTTTATTCACTGAGCCCCTCAGATGTCTCACATATCACCAGCGATTCACAGATCACACTTGGGGAAACACTGCCGTGTTGCCTCTGAGTTTAGACATGTGTACCTGACCCCGACCCGGCAGATGAACTCTTGCAGCTGGAGACAGCCAAGGCAAACGAAGATCCCATGAGCAGCTGTGCAGAAGAGAGGGAAAGATGCTGTGTTAAGAGGCCAAGGGCCTGGGATCCAGGCCTGGCACTTCCACTGATAGTCTTGCAGCAATCGGCAATTTATTTTACATCATCTTACCCAAGATCATCTTTTTATAAGTAATAAGAAAATAATGACGCCTTCCCTAACGTGCTCTACAGAGCATTGTAAGAACCTAGTGAGAGAATATGTGCTAAAGGGCTCTAAAAATCTCTTAATTTGCTACATATATACAAAGAATTAATACTGTGCAGTTTAGATCTCCTTTTCCTGCTTGACACCATAATGGTTTAAGAGCACATACTGTATTATCAAACTACATATGTTTGGATACTGGCTCTATGACTCATTCCCTGTTTGACCTTAAGCAATTTATTTAATCTCCACAAATCTCAGTGCCCTCACTCATAAAATGGGAATAATGATAATAGCTCATATGTTGGTTTCGAAGATTTGATGTATTGTCCAGGGAAATCTAGTCTCTCACTGGGCAGACAAGAGTTGAGAAAAGTCAAATCAGAAAATATAGCACAGCAATCATATTTTGACTGTTAGAGCAAATGGAATTGTATTTCCATAGCCTTATCTTGTATTTGGAACTGCTGGTCTGTGTATATGCAAGTGGCGGGGATGGCAGCCCCTCTTTTGAGAGCTCAGAAATCCCAGGCTTTCCACAAAGACTCCACGCGGAATGGAGGAAGAGGCTCATTAAGAGAGACAAAGATGCTGTGCATGCTGGGCTTGCAGCTGGGGTGGGGGCTGAGCCTGCCACTGGCATTGCGCCTGGTGTGATGGAATGCATCCTCTGGACCAGGGTAGGGGGGTGGGGGGACAAGGGTGAGGCAAGGCTGGATGTCATTGAGGGTGACCAGTGGCGGATATGTGTCCTCACACCAAGAAGACTGAGGCTCCGTGAATCCCTCCACCCCCCTGCTCTCCTTCAGTGGAACTGAAAGATGAATGAGGGGCTCTAGGAGACAGTTTCTTACACTGGCCAATGCGGAGCATCCATGAAAATTGGCAGCTGTCCAAATGCTCAGGGCCGTAAAGAAAAAAAAAATGGGCCTGGTAGAAATTGGGTCAGAAACCAAATGCCCTCTTAAAAAGGGAATTGTATAACTGCACTTCTGTGTTTCGTTTTGTTCTGTTTTTGTTTGTTTTTGTGTCTTCAGGAGTCTGATTGCTTTCTCCTCCTCCTTCCCTACAGAAAATGAAGGAGTACCTAGAGGGCAGGAACCTCATCACCAAGCTACAAGCCAAGCATGACCTTCTCCAGAAAACCCTGGGAGAAAGTGAGTGTGGGGCTCTGCCGGAGATTTGGCACTGATGGGACAGCTGAGCCCTGGTCTGTGTTGCCGAGCCTCTACCCTAAGCCAAGTGAACCTGATCTGGTTATATGAATACATTTCTTTTCCTAGCCCCTGTGATGTGGGAGCACGCTCCCCAGATGACTGGTTGAGTAATGGGAGACGGCCAGTGCCTAATGAAGCACTAATGTGCGTCATTTATTTGCTTAAACGGAGCGTGCCTGCTCCTTCCCTAGTCCCCTTCCTGCGCCGCCTTTGCCATGACTGAGGTAAAGGGGCTGATGCGTTATTTACTCTCTGGACACTTTGTGAAAACTCCCAGCTCCTCAATGGCAGGTCTGAAGCTGGAGCAAGAAGATAGGGAGCTGGAAGTTGAGCTGCTTAGCTGCTCTGAGGAGAGGAGAGGAGATTCTGAAAGGCACAGGTGATGGACAGACTGCTGCTCTCTGTAGCGTCATGGTAGAGCATCGCATTCCTTCTGCTTTGAGAAGTTCTGCCTCTACATCGCAGCCCTCTCTCTGCCGTGGTCATGCTGAGGCCAAGGTGTTGAATGGACTGTCTTATCTCATAGGATGATTTTAACCAGACCCTGGGAAGTAGAAAGGCAGAGAACGAGAGTGGCACACTGGACATTTTCTCCTCAGCTGTCAAACAGAAGGCGAAGGTTGAAAGAGAAGCTTCCCTGGGGTTCTTGGCACCCTGCCTAGGTCTCTCAGCAACTGTGATTAATGGGATTCCCAGGTTGGGGATGCCTCTGAATGCTGGCCCCTCCTCTCTGCCCCACTAATCTTACTTAAAGATGGGAAATGGGAGCTTATGGGGCATATGGGGTAACACCAATGAAAAGCAAACCTTCACTGACACGGAGGCCTAACACTGTAAAATAAAATCTTGAGCACTCTTCAGACACACTGCAGAGTACATCAGAAAGTGTAGGGGTGCAGTATTCATTGGCTCATTGACCACAGGAATCAGAGCCCTGCTTTTCCTACCAGAGCCTCCTACCCACCCATCTTGCCCTGTCCTTCTCTTGCGCTGGATGATTCCCCCGTATGATTCTTTTATGTCTAATGTCTTTGATCTTGCAATTTTTTTAGCACTTTCTTTTATGTGAGGATAACCTGTTAAGTAACTTCTGTTCTCTTTCCTCCCCACCACCCAAGAGACTCATGCTGAACAGGTTTGGGCACTGAGATCCAAACTTTGCTTATAGAAAATCTTTACTCTTGGGTTATCAGATTGCTCCCTGGGGAATCAGAGGAAAGAAAGCCCAGGACTATTTGAAACAAATTATAACCATGATTTCCTTTTGCCAAGATAATGGAAGCATTGCCCTTAAGAGAGATGGGGAACAGGGCCTCCAGGGATAGGGTCGGGGAGGCTGGAGCCAGTGTGTGAGAGAGAGAATAGGCTCTCACACACACGTAATATACCACATGTCCTACTATGGAGGGACAGAGGTTGGCGATCATTCATTAGTGTTGCAGATTGCCTTCATCTGACTATGGCAAGTTTTAGCAATAAGGAAAAAAATAGCTGTAGATCTTCCTGTATGCAAGTCATCATGTCCCTGCCTTCAGTATTTGTCACCGTAACACAAGAGCCCCTCGTTCTTGCCACGGAGGGATAATTGATGTGTATGAATATTCCAGAATGGAAATGGGCCAGATGTTGAAAATAATGGCTCAATAATATTTTTGCAGATGAAAGCTGAGCCTTTAGTAATGAGAGGCTGTTCCGGGAGGAGGGGGGTGCAGTATTGTTGCTCAGGATGAGCTGAACTGCAATCAACAATTATCAACCTTTAAAGGCAAGAAGAAGCCCTGCCCTCTCAGCCCTTGGATTTGCCTTTCCAGGAGCACAGATGAGGAGTATGGGAGCTTATCCACTCACTGCCTGCTTGGGTTTTTGCTGATTTATCTAATATAGGTCTCATACAGACCAAGCTTGGTTACCTGTATACCCAAGGAAAGCAACATAGGTTACATCATGGCCCAGGCACACGTGCATATGTATTTTTTTAAAAAAAAACATAAAAATACTTCTTATGAACATTGAGATTTTCAGTTCCATTTTTAAAGCTGGCTATGATCCATTGAACTCAATATTAAGCCCTGGCCGGGTAGCTCGTTGGTTAGAATGTTGTCCCCATATGCCAAGGTTATAGGTTCAATCCCCTGTCAGGGCATGTACATGAGGGAACCAATGAATGCATAAATAAGTGGAAAAACAAACTGATATTTCTCTCTCTCTCTCTCTCTCTCTCTCTCTCAAATCAATCAATAAATTTTTTTTAAATATTAGGGCCTACCATTGGATTGAGAACCACTGTTTGATAGCAATATCAGCATTAAACCTCTCTTCCCTTGCCACCCCAGCCCAACCTAAATAGGAGACTTTAGTATGAATTTAAAATTAAAACTTCCATATCTTCACTGTGCCTTCCTTCTCACCACACAGACACACCATACACGGAAGAGAAGCTAGATTTCATCTACAGCAAGGTTCTAATAGTTTGTTCTCTAACATGTGATCTGCTTTTGTTGTTCCCCTAAATCCACCCCATTGGGAAGCAGAGTTGGCAAACCTAAGGTTTAGGGGTGCTGACAGCCCAGGGCTGGAAACAAGTATCAAAAACAGATCTTGCCCAGAAAGGGGCTCTGGGAGTTTCCCTTTTTCGCTCTGAAGGCTGGCCACACCACGGTACTGGCGGTCATGCTCTGGGTAGGTGGGCAGGCATGGTGACTCCTGGGAGCCGGTCACGCTTTCACCCCTCTGCTTCAACATGTGCTTTTTGCTTTTGTCTTTCCAACAGGTCAGCGGACAGATTGCAGTCTGGCCAGGTAGGTGTGGCTTGGGATAACCCTGGGAAGAGATGAAGAGAGGCCTATGGGTAGAGACATCTCAGCCTGGGAAAGAGCCAAGGAGTCCAATTACAAAGGCGTTGGATGGCTTTGCAAAGGAGTGGCCTTGGGCAAAGGTTGCTTTTTCTCTTCGTCTTGCTAACTGCACCTGGCCCTAGTGGAAATTGAGTTCACTGTGATTTAGGGAAAGACCTGAGCAGAACTGAGTGGAAGGAGTTACCATTTGCTGAAATAGTTCCAGAAACTACCAAAAGCCACTGCATTGGAAGGGAAAGAAATGTCCAACTCTGGAGGGAGTGTCCTTAACTGCCAGACTTAAGCATGTGGGTTTTGGGAAATCTCTGCCGCTGAGATGGACCATCAGGAGATAGCATTTGATCTGAGACTTTTTTATGCACGGAAAAGATGACAGCCTCTATTAGTGACTGTTGCTGGATAATGAGCTATAACTGCATTGGTAGAACTCCTGGCCCAATGATGTGCAAGTATGCAACCCTCCCAGTCTTTCCCCACCTTCTCCTTCCTTCCCCACCCCAGCCAAGTATTTTCCCTTCTAGTTACAGAGCTGCTATGAGAACACTCGTGAGCTGGCACAGAGCAAGGCATTCATTCAGTCAACAGTTCTCAAATGCCTAAACATGGACTGATTTAACTGGAGAAAGAGCTTTAATGGGCTGGACTCCTTAGAGACCCTGGGTTAGCCCATTATATCAACCACTTATATCTGCCAAAACACAAAATAATCATGAGGCCATTTACAATTATAGGCTCGTTATTTAGAAATAGCTTCATTTGGCTTTCATCGTTTCGTCATTGTGGATTACAATAAATATCCCATTAATCTTAATGACTGGAGGGAACCAGGATAATAGAATTCAGTGGAATATATCTTCTTGGTGATATAGTCTCAATATAAGCTGAATTCCCTTATGTTGTGTTATTTCCCTATATGACATTGGGCCCCTCTTCTTCTCTGAACTCAAGTTTTCTTGACTATAAGATAAGAAAGAGTATTCCGTTAGATCTGAGGAGCTCTAGGATTCCCAAGCGGTTCACCAAAGGCAGCCTGATGGAAGGGGCAGAGGGTGCCCAGTGGCCAGGCCCTGGTCCCTACCTTTATTCAAGACAGCGCAGCACTGCTCTCCTTGGTTGGGGCATTGGGCCTCGGAATGGATTCCTAAGGCTTCTGAGGTCAAACACAGCTTAAAAAGCTTTGACCTAGAGGACCACCAAAGTTCCTTCCAGTCTGTACACTCTACCATCTAAATTCCAGGAAAATCCCTCTCTTTTCCCTAAGTATTTCCAAGAGAGAGAACTGTAGCTTCTTTTGGAGTTTCCTAGTGTCTCCTTGCAGAGAGATTTTCTTATTACTATCAATTGAACAAATTCCCTCCTATTCTGGTTTTGAATGGTGCAGACATTAAAAGTAGAGACCTCGGTGCATTTGTGAAAAGAGCTTTAATGGGCTTTATTTGGATCAAGCCTCTTAGCCATTTCTGGGTCTTAACTGAATAATGTGACTTGTATCATTAACCACCAAACAGACTGTTTTTAACCCTGTTTTCTTTTTGCTCCCTCTTGCTGGATTGGTCCTCTCTGATTTGATGGGGTCAACCACAGACGTAGCTCAACCGTGAGGAAGCAGGTAAGAGCCCAGCAGGAGCCAGGCTCGTCTAGTGTGAAAACAATGACATCCTACAGACATTCAGGGAACGCCATGGTAGGCAGGACAGACACTTTTCTGACCTAATGCCTGTGTTTGGAATGTACAGTTTAGCCATAGGGTGTTTAAAATTATGGCAGCTTCATTGATTTAGCTCGTTTAGCTGGAATGGCCATGATCTTTCTGATTTGCTCCTCTTACCCAGTGAGATTTGATTTGATTGTGGCAGATTGTGCCAGAACCGCCCTTGGCATCAGTCCTTCAGGAGACCGTGAAGGAGGCCTCACACTTCATGCATATGTACCAGTATAACAGAAACTCACAGCAGCTAATCCCCTAGACCAGGCACTCTTGCTTTAAGTTCACAGATTTTTGTTTGTTTCTAGTGGTGTGGTCATCCTAGGTGTATTTCTAAGACATCCTAAAAGTGCAAAGGTAAGTCTGGTCTAGGACTGATAGGCAAGTGATACTGAAATGCAATGTTGTGCATGATCTTCAGTGTTGGATTAAAATCTGACATTGGGCAGCTAGCTCTTGTTACCCATATTAGGAGAGACCTTAGCAGTGGATGGATAATCCACATCAAGGGATAACCTAAACAGCACTTGGGCTTGTTTTAAAAAATTCTTTGATTTTGTTGTTGTTGTTGTTGTTGTTGTTTTTTGCAGTAGCAAAAAGTTTCTAATTTATTCTTTACGGCAAATACTGAAATGATTTTGTATCTCCTAAATTCATACCAACTATGCAGTAGACAGTTAGCAGGGAGGAAGTAAGGAGAGCTCAGAAATGTCTTTGTATCTAGTCAGGGGAAAGCTGGTTCAACCTTAAAAAAATCACTGTGGCTAATTCACAATGGCTGTTGCCACAGGGAGAAAATCAGATATGGGAGGCACCTGGTTTCTGTGGGGTCAGCAGCCCCAGCGGGGCCTTCAGCCCATCCAATGGCTCGGGCTGGCTGGGTAGAACAGCTGGGGAACTCAGGTGACATAGCCCTCACGTGTCTTAGCTTTACTGTCATTATTTTCCCCCCTTCTTTACTTGGATCTCATTTTAATGAGAACACCATGAGATACAATTACACATTTTTAAAAATTATAAAAAATTCATTTCAACTCTCTTTCCTCTTGTTCCTCTAATTTTTTCCATCTTCCCTCTTCTCCCACTATTTCATTTAAAACTAGAGAGGAATGGAGTGACTCCCAGGGATAATTTAGTACATTTAAAATTATTAGGTGGATCTGTTAAAGAGAGAGCAAACCTTTTTTCCCTTCAACACTTCAGAACAGGATTGAACTTGAAGTTCGTTCCTTTCAGTCCCTGGACTGCAACTGAGCTTCCTACTCACAGAGCGAGCATATGACCGAGGGCTTCACAGCCCCCACTCTGCTGCAGAAGTGCTGAGGCCACTGTTTGGCAGGTGGTTTGCACACCTGGTTGTACTCAGCATGGAGGGGAATGGCACCTATCTGGTTTGTATTCTGCCACACCTAAGCATTTGCAGTCCAAGCACATTTGCCTGGTGCTAGATTTGTGTAAAAGTTCCAGCATACACCAAAAGCCCCAATCAAATAAGGACCTTGAGTTCATTCTGCTGCCCTAGTTTTTGTCCAACTGTTCATTTCTAATGGTGCATTAGTAAAGCATTTTTCTAAGTTAGTCAGGAAGGTAAATAGTAAGTAATTTAGATGATGAGTAATCTTGTATAAGTAACCAGGGAGTAAATATTTGTTTGTTTTTTTATGGCAAATCAGCCAAACAAAAGGAAGAATCTGGTAGCTTTAGTTTTTGAGGGTCCCTAATAGGTTCTAGGCATTTTTGAGCCTAGCAAAAACTAGGTTCCAACCATCCCAGACTTTTCTTCAAAAAGAAATACCCCGGTCTCTGCTTCCAAACTCTCCCTGCTCCCTTCAGCCCCGCATCTCCTCTGTCCTGCTACTTCCATATCTTCTTTGCTGGCCCTTCCTTCTCCAGACCTCTAAATGGAGCCATTTCCCCAAGGCTTGGCCCTCTTTTCTTTTTCTCTCCGTATTCTTTCCTTTGTCGCTTTGTTTCCTGAGGCGAATCTTTCTCTCCTTTCCTTAGTGTCCACTTGTTCCATACGCTGTCAGTCTGAGCCTTGGATCTAACTCCGGGCTGATGGCTGGACGTTGCTGCGAGAGGGCACCTCCTGCCCTCAGCATCAGTCTCACCTTCCCCGCCATGTTCTAGCTTAGCACCTCCCCCAACTTCTCTGTTTCTCCTAATGCACACCCTCCATTCTTCACAGCCTTGGAAGTCCCCAATCTTATCTTTGATGCCTCTTTTCTCCTCATTAGCTACATCTAATCAGTTGTCAAGAGGTAGTTTCTCCCTTAGTGAAAATGGAAATCTAACAAATGTAACAGAGATCAGTACCTAACTCTGTCACTCATGAGAAACTATGCCAAACGATGAATTATTTAGACATTATCTATCCACCTTCTTGATTGTTTACTCCTGCTTGATTGTTTGCTCCTGCAAATCACTGGACTTCTGCTTTACTGTTATTTCCAGTTATGCCTTCTTCCTGAATGGGGATTTGGCCCAGTTGCCCTTAAAGACCCTTTTGAACCCTAGAATTAAAGGACTAAAAATATTGTAAATAAAAGAATTAAACTGACATGGATTCTCATGTTGGAAGAGGGAAGAAGAGAGAAAGAAAAGACAGACACTGAATAAGAACGCACAGGCACACTGCCTGGTCAGCTGTGTGCAAAGTCAATGGGGGAATGGGAATCTTTGGAGCCCCTTAGGAGGGTCTGAAGTCTTCATGACTTTGTCCAGGTTTTGCTCCCACTGGACTCTGTCTTAGGCCCAACTGGAGCAATGTGGGCCAGAAGAACTCTCTTCTACAGTGGGACAGGTCATCTCTGGCTCACTCTTGTCTACACACACAGATTACTCCTCTGGGCTACTTCTGACGTACTACTTATTAACTATGGACATGCAGGTTATTATCATTGATCCTTGCTTTCTGCAACCTTGTATACTTTCCTTTAACTACCATTGATATTCCACTTCCTGCAAGTCTAGGCAAAATTTTGCACTCAACTTGTTGAAGCCAGCAACTTGTGAGCTCCCCAAGCTCCCTCGCTCTTGATCTTTATAAATCTAGGACCAGAAAAACTTTACAAACCTTCCTATCACCATCATTATTATCACTGCTACTACTATTTGTAAATAAAAAAATACAGTAACATTTGTAAACATAAAGAGACTTCCAAAAAATGGAGTTTTGGGTGTTTTTTTAAATAGTTCATTAAGAGTATGAAAGAACTGACAAGGATTTTTCCTCTAACATCGCCCTGGCTGACTGGCAGGTGTCAGTGATGGCGGCAAGAGGGCAGACGCTGGCTGCTGTAGCTGGAAAGCTGGAGGAAGCAGATGGGTATGGGGGTCATGAAAATGAGCCTTTGGTCGCTAAGACCTTCCTGACTGCAGCTCCACTTGGCCCCTGGCCCATGCAGCACTGCCTTTGGCAGCACCCTGGGTTCCCAATAAGCTTAGGAGCTAGAGGCCGTGCCAACTCGTCCCTCAGCCTGACTTCCTCATGAGGCCCAGCTGCTTCCCTAAAGCGGCCAAGCCCCCTAGTTACAGTTGGAAATTCAGAGCCAGTGGAGAGGCACAGGCCAACCTGTGAAATGGGCAGAAGCCGCAGGGCCCATCCCACTTGAGAGTACAGTCTCAGACCTAAACATATACAGCCCTTTTTAACTCGGTTTAGAGGTCCCTCTGCCTAATCCCTTTCTTCCCCATTGGCTGAATCATTGTGTGTTTAGTTGCATTATAAATCCCTACTGGTTTTTAGCAATATTTGGTATATGCACCTGGCAGTGTTTGCCAAGCTCCTAGGATGCAGTATGGATGATAGGAAGATGTTTAGTCTCAGAGGCCGCCAGGGTTTAAATCCTGGCTCTGCCACTTACCTGCTGTGTCACCATGGGCAGCTATTTCACCTCGCTAAGCCTTGATTTCCTCAGTTGTCAAATGAGGGTGATCACAATATGTACCCCATAGGGTTGTTGCCAGGACCAATCCATCTAAAGCATTCAGTACGTGGCCCAATACATCTCTATAAATTCCTCTGTAAATGGTAAGTACTAGTGTTCATGTGTCAATAGGAAATTTCCCCTCTCCAACTTGTAGATGCCAGATTGAGACCAAAGAAGTTAAGTAAATCCCAGAGTAGTATAGCAAAGTGGCAGAGCAAAGAATGACACCTTGGAGGCCTGTTTCTTTGCTTCAGTAGCAATTAGTCTGCACTATTACCAAGAAATGGATTTTTTCTTTCTTACCTTTTGTACCAAATAAACTCCCATTCTGATGCTCCCATTGATTCATTCTACTACCCGTAACTGATATTAATTGTACATGCCCTGTGTGAGAAAATCACGCCAGCACTGGACACTCAAGAGGTGGCATAGGATCTGCCCTGTGGAACTTGAGCTATAGTGGTGACAAATGCAAACAAATACACCCACACAATTAAGTCACAGTCAGGGCTATGAGGGTCAAGTTCAAGGTGCTGAGACCCTGTAGACCAGGCCCTGATCTCATCTGGGGAGTCTAGAAAAGCATCCTTGAGGAAGAGTGGTACTTGGCACTGAGACTCCAAGAGGTAGGGTCCCAGGGTAAGGAGAGCGGTTCAGCTGCAGGAGCAGCTCATGCAAAGCCATAGGCAAGGATGACTTATCTGAGGAGCAGAAAGAAGGCCAGTGTGACTGAAATAGAGAGAAGGGGTAGGGGGCGTGGAGCAGAAGGAGATGAAACTGGAAGCAAACGCAGGAAGGACCCTGGACATGCAAAGCTGTATAAAGAAAATAACAAGGAGTCTTTGAAAGAGTTTAGTCTAGACAGTAAACAATCAGATGTACACTTTTAAAGATCACCCGACAGCTATATAAAGGAAGAAGGGCGTGGTTTGGGGGACAACAAGGGTGGGAATTAAGATGTTCATGGATTGGACTGGGTTGGGGGCACTAGGGAGAGAAGGGGATGGATTTGGGAGATATTTAGGAAGCAAACTTTACAAAATGTATTTGTTGATTCATTGATTCATTGGATTGCTGAGGGCAGGGAACTGATTTGGGGTAAAGGTGGTCAGTTTCACAAAGGACATGCTAGATTTAAGGCATCTGTGTGGCATTCCGAGTAGATGGTTGTATATGTGGTCTGGAGTTTAAAGGAGAGGCCAGATGCTTCTCTGTGGACCAGCCACTTATCCAGCTGAGACAAGTCCCTCACAATTTGGCCCATTTCCTCTGATCCTGGGCTGTCCCTGTTTAAAGATCCTAATGCTGTGTTTCTCTTTGGCTTTTCAGGATTCCAGCCAGGCAATTCCTCTGGTGGTGGAAAGCTGTATCCGGTTTATCAGCAGACATGGTGAGCAGGATTCTAGCCTTGCCTTATTTGTGCAAAGTTGAGAAGAACTTTCAGGAATTCTTTGAACAGTGAGCGTAGAGATTGACTTCCCACCCTGACATTCAGAAAAGGAATAAAATCTTATTTGTTCACATAATGTTTTCTGCCTCAGAACAGCCACACGTAGATGTTAAGAAAAAGACATCATATTTTTGACTCAACCCACCTCAGCCACTTTCCACACTTCCTTTTCTAGCTTGAGTGAGTTTTAAATTACAGCTGTCACGTGAATTAGTACAGCTGGTGGGATGTGTGATGGTAGTTTCGCCATTGCTCACTGTCTTCACGTGTGTCTCTATCTCCCACTGCACAGTCTTGACCATTATGTCACATTGGCTTTTCTGCATCAGACTCTTTGCAAACAACTCCTTTTGTAACGTTGCATTGATTCCTAAGAATCAGATTTTGTTCTGGTTTGGTTTAACCAAATAACGACATCGCCAGGAGCTCAGTTAATAGCTGGTCTTAAAGTTGTAACCCACATTTGAGAATCTGCGGGGGCTGGCTCCTTCTCAACCTGAGTCAGATGATAGTATCTTCTGCTTGGACAAAGCTGAGTGTCAAAAACTTCATTCCTTCTTCAGCACCTCCTAGGCTGCTTAGACAGAATTTAGGGATAGAGATGAATTGCCAGAGAATTGATCTTCCTAGAATAAGAGTGTTTAGAAAACACAGATATCTGAGCTAGCACCATGAAGATTTCTAGGAACTAAGCATCAGAAATTGTTTTTAGGTGTTGTCCTATCTAGTTAGAGGAAGAGGGACAGAACAATCTTTTAGGAGCTGAGGAGGTATGTAGATAAGTGCTGGTCTCATTTCAGAGGCAGCTATTGTCTTTCCCTCTCTCTTTCCTCTCTCCTGAAAAACTGGGAACATTGCTTGTGTTCATTTTTGGAACAGTAATTATTTTAGCACGCTCATGATTTACTCTGTTCTAATCAGCTACAATTTTTTTCATCTTATCTTTATTCACTTGAAGTAACAGCATTTTATATCACTATTGAATAATCAACAAATATTTATCAAGCCCCTGATCAATGCTGGGCACCATGCATTGTCAAATAGGAAATAACAGAAACAAACAAACAAAAAACCAGGGATAATGTGCTGTTCCTGTCTTTACCTCATTTTATGATGCAGCTGGGAGAAAATAAATGAGCAATGAAAAGTTAAAAAGTGATAAGCTGTAGTAATTCAAAATAGCAATATAAGAAATTTCACGAGCTAGTAATGTTTAATGGTCAGGCGGTTGGCAAAGATAAGTCCCAACTAAGTTCAGAGGAGAAAGAATTATTTATGCCTAAAGGATAATAAGAAGAAAGTCTGAATTCCTAATCGTTCATCCATGCATTCCATTCATTCATTCATTCAACAAATATATACAATGATTGCTTATTGTGTGCCAAGAACAAGTGACTTTTTTTCATGAACCTTATATTCTACTAAAGGACAAATAAAGAATCACTTGTGTAGTCAATAAATAAACAATTAATACACAATATGCTGGGTATTGGTGAGTGTCATGAAGAAAAGTAAAGCAAGGTGAGGAGATGGAGAATGGAGAGGGGACACTGTTCTAAACAGGTTCAGGAAAAAGGACTAAGGTGACTTTTGAGCAGAGCCCTGAAGGAAGTAAGGGAATGAACCATGTGGGTCTCTGGAGAACAGTGTTTAGGGGAGAAGGCGCATCAAACGCAGAGGTCCTTGGCATGTGCAAGGACCAGCACACAGGACGCCAGTGTGACTGGAGCAGAGTGAGTGGGGAGGAGAGTGTGCAGACTCTTGGGGCTCCATTGGCTGAGGTAGATGTTTGGATTTTACTCTGAGCGAGTTAGGGAACCACTGGAGCATTTTGAACAGGGCATGAGCTTTTTGAAGGAGGCTACTACAATAGCTTAGGGAAGACATGACGGTGCCCTGGACCAGTGTGTCTGCTGTGGAGCAGCTGAGAAGTGGAGGGGTTTTGGATATTGTGCTTTGAATGTACCTGTCCCTATACAGGCACAGTTCATGAGGAGACAGAAACTTAGCACGTTTCTGTGGTGTGGCTCTGGGAAAACAGGTATGCGCACATATTGCTGACAGCAATGCAAATCTGTACAACCACTTTGGAGGGGATTTTAACAAAACTGCAATACACTTGTCCTCCAATCCAGCAATCCTTATAGGAATTTACCGTAAAGATACACCTGCAACAACATCGAAATACATATGTACATACATATGTTATTTATTGCAACATCATTTGTAATTGCAGAACAGAAACAATCTAAATGCCTTTATATGGAAGAGTGGTTCAATAACTGGTATATCCATATAATGGAATACTGTGCAGTTACAAAAAAAGAATGAAGAGGATCTCTAAAAAATGAAGAGAGAAGCTTCCAGAATATATTATGCAAAACAGTATCTAAAGCATGCTATCTTTGGCCCTGGCAGGTTAGCTCAATTGGTTAGGGTATTGTCCCCATATGCCAAAGTTGAGGGTTCAATACCTGCTCAGGATACATACAAGAAGCAACCAGTGAATGAATACATAAGTAGAACAACAAATTGATGTCCCTCTCCTTTCTTATATCTCTCTCTCAAGTCAATTTAAAAAATTGAAAAAATAAAATAAAGCATGTTACCTTTCATGCAAAAAACAAGAGGGCATAAGAATATATATCTATCTTCTCAATTCTGCAAGAAGTAGTAAAGGAAGGATGAATCCAAAGGCTAGTATTTTATTAGCTATCTACATGGATGGTAGAAGAGGATTAAAAGAGTGGTGGAATGGGAAACAGGAGGGGAATGACATTTCTCTGCATATTTCTTTTTGTGTAATTTTGACTTTTAGTACTACATTAGTGTTGCTCAAACTTAAAAAATAAATAAACAGATGAATAAAAGAAGGATGGGCCCTGTCAGTAGTTCAGTTGGTTAGAGCATTGTCCCCATATCAGTGCTCTAGGCCAAGGTTACAGGTTCGATCCCCAGTTAGGGCACATACAAGAAGCAACCAAAGAATGCATAAATAAGTCGAGCAACAAATCAGCATCTCTTTCTCTCTCTACCTGCCTCCGCCCCTTCCTTTATCCCTCTAAAATCCATCAATTAAAAATTTTTTAAAAAACAAGGATGGGAGTAAAACCCCAAATGGAATAAAAACAGTAACAAAAGAAAACCTAACTGTATTACAAATAACATAACCACCTGAGGACATCAGGAAGAAAATAAGTAACTTTGGAAAACAATATTTTGATTATATACTGTAAGTCTGAAGGTGAAGAGAGCTGTATAGTACTCAGTCATTTTTACCATGGGGACATGGGCCAGCAATACTGAAGCCATTTTATATGTATTCCAAGATTGAAGAACTAGATAAAGAAATTGTTGATTTAAAGAAAAAAAACTTAGTACATTATAGCTGTTCAAAACAAAATTTATTCAGTTAAATTGAACTTTTTGCCCAATAGGGACTCGAGGTATTCCTGAACTTCCTAAAAACTCTGGTTAAAATTTTTGTGTGTGTATACTTAATGGAGATGGGGTCCATAACTTTGTCAGTTCTTTAGTGTTTGTGGCCCAACAGATGTTAGCCTTCGCACATTCTTACAATATCCCCTGGGAGGTAGATGTTATAATCCCCATTATGAGAAAGCTGAGGCTCATCTATAAGCCGTGGGTCTAGGTAATCCAGGACAGCGTAAAGGAGAAAGGATGTAAGGAACAACCAATATTGGGTCAGGATGGGAAAACCCCACCATTTTCAGGAGGAAGGGAGTAAATTAGCATGAGCAGGGGGCGGTGGTGTAGCAATCACTTCAAGAATTCTCCAGGAGAGAAGTGCTTGGCAACAGCTGGATCCAGGACAAAATGGAAGGCTTTGTGCCATTCCCAAATAACTTACCTAAGTCTGATTGGTTTTGTACAAGAAAAAATAAAAAAAGATCATGGATGTGTCAGGTTGGTTTTGTGAGGCCTTACCTGCATTATAATAAAAAGCTATCTGCTTTACCCTTTCTGGAAACGCACCATTTGTTAAGGTTCACGCTTTTATAATCATTAGATTAGATACTCAAGATTCTGTCTTTTGAGCAAGAACACAGAATGGCCCTTCCAGAGCATAGGTTCTCGAGGGGAAACAAGCCAGACAGAAAGGGGCCTCAGTGCGTCTCAGGCCTGCTGCCTGGTTTTCAGGAAACTCCCCTCTGGTTTCTTGTCCTGGGCCCCATGGGCCAATTGTGGCTCATCCCTAATAGTCTCATTTACCAAAAAAACACCAAGATGATCCTCTCTTAGCAAGCTGTTGGCTTCACCAGCTAGAACACACCAAGCAGCCTGGTCCCTGAGTTGACATTTCCTTATATTCTACTGTGGTTTTGACACCTCACTGGGTGTGTCTGTTTTTGTGTTTACATTTTGTGATTAATCACTATGTGGCTGTTACATCCTATTTGTAACTTATATAGTAATATGATATTGGTGCTAACGGGGTTTTAACAAGCTTCCCATTCTGTGAAGAATATTCTGGAAATTCCCTTAAATGAGCAGGCAACTCAAATCCTATTACAAGCCAGGTAGTCATTGTATTTTGCTGTGTATAATGTGCACTTTTTTGCCCAATTTTTGAGGGAAAAATAAGGATGTGCATCACACATCGGTATAATGATTACATACCGTGGGTATAATAATCCTTGTATAACGCGCACAAAAACGTGGGTGCACGTTATACACGGTAGTGCATTATGAGTGGCAAATTATGGTAGATTTCCCTTATTGATTCAGGAGTTCAGTCCTGGCCTGTGTGCTTTACCTTCAAACGTCTAGCTGATAGAATTTAGTCACCCCTCACCAAGAGGGTAGCCCTAAAACAGTGGGCAAAAGGTAGCATTATTCTTTCGTTTTCCTAAAAAGAAATTTGTTTGAGATTTTTTTGACGTCAGAATTTTCAAGGGATTGTGCCGTAACAGAGATTTCAGCAAAATGCCCAAGATTGAGACACAGGACTCCTGAGAAAGGCTTGGCAGGCCTGATGTGATTAAAGATGCTAGTTCAGTCCAACCCCGGGGTCCAGCACCAACGACATGCTCTCTGGACCCTTATCAGTTTCACAGTTGCATGTGTGCGCTCTCTGTAAACCACATCCATGTTCATACTAACAAATGGGTTCCGGTCCTCTCTACACTTTTACTCCAGTAGGCCCCACAAGCCTGGCCTTCAGGAATGAGCTGGAAGGCCTGGGTTTGCACCTGGTGCTGGTTCTTGTGACCTAGGCATTCTATGGCTGGTCATAACTTATGGGTCTCCTCAACTAGAAAATGGGATTGCTGGTCACCCCTACCTTATTTACATGGCTATTGTAAGAACTCCTTGATTTGTTTATATGAAAGCATTTCTTAGCAGCAGTCACCACACATGCATTATCTTTTTATGATTATGTCTACTAAGTTCTTACGCACGTTATCATAATGTAACATTCATGCATGTTTTTCTTTAGAGAAAAACTGCAATCAAAGACCAGTGGCTAGCACAGTGTTTGGCAGTTCTGTCTGTTAACTGACCACTTGCCTTTTCATGTCCTCTTTTTCACAAGTATTCAAAGCATTGTGCCCTACAGCAACCAAACAGTGTTAGAACAGCTAAAGCAATAATTGTAAGCTCAGACCTTACGGCACTCCTCTGATGGTATCTAATGACTTGCCTGCCGTGCCCAAGGTTCCTATTCCTGATCCTGGGTGATAAGAAGGTGCCAGAGGGTCACTTCCCCACTTTGCACATGGGAACAGAGAGGCAAAGTTTGGGGAAACTTGCCTCATAATCTCCCTAGGAGTCAGAAGTGGAGCCAGGTATAGACATTTCTTCCCTTAAGTCTCTGACTCAGTGCTTTCTTTAGGTTAATGCCTCACATCCATTCCAGTGACTTTTCCAGCATCCTTTTACATGTGTTCTCCTTTGGCCTGAAGAAGAGAGAAAGGGTACTCAAATACACACTGGCTGGCAGAGATAGACATGCTGCTAAGCTTGGAGCTGTGTGAACTTGCTTTTTCTTCTCGTTGATCACTTTTCCCTTACCTTCCAGGACTGCAGCATGAAGGGATTTTCCGGGTGTCAGGATCCCAGGTGGAAGTGAATGACATCAAAAATGCCTTTGAGAGAGGTGAGGAAACAGCCTGGAAGATAAGACCAAATGTCTGCCAGCCTCCTGGAATATTGGCTCCACCTGTACTCCCCTGAGAGGTACCCAGAGGTTAGAAAGCCAGTTGCCTCCCTCTTCAGCCCAGCACCTGCTCTCTTGTAGACATTTCTCCCTAGATATGCAGGGAGATGACAACACCCATCTCAGCTGTCTCCTTCTCAGCCCCATTCATCTTGCCTTCTGTGGATGATCGGCCGAAACCCAAGAAGTTAACTGTGGTATCTGGGCGGTTTATGGCTTCATTCGGAACCCTTGGTGGCAGTTAATATCAAGGCTAATGCGCCTGTACATCGTAGTCCATTTATTATTCTGTGGGCTATTAAGGTAATGGGCAAGCTTTGGCAATTTCCGTCACTATAATGGATATATATAGTTTCAATTTGAGGTTGGTCCAATCATTAAATCTAATTACATTTGATACGAAATTTTCCATAGGGAGCTCCGGCATGATTGTTCTCTTGTAAGTAGGTGTCCTTTGTTGCAGGCCAGGAAGAGTGAGAGCTACTCAGAGGGGCTGGCCTTCCTGGCCTCATTTTCCTCCCCCAGGAGCTCAGTCCCAGCCTGGTTTCATGATTCTTATGAGAGAGCCAGTTGCCATGCCCCGTCCCCAGCCCAAAGGGAAATATCCCTCTGCTCGTCTGGCACAAGCAAATTTAAACTAACAGACTCTCATGCCTCTCCTCTGGCCCTGGGAGCCTCTGAGCCTAAGCAGTCTTCACGTTATCTTGTTTCTGGTTCGCCCTTCTTGTGGGCACCGTGCTGGACAGAGAGCTGAGGGACTGGGGTGAGGACTTAAACAGGTCACCCCTCCCCCCATCACCTCTACTTCATCCTGTGTGTTGTACCTCTCTCACTCTTTCCTTTTTTGGGGGGTTGCTTATTATCAGGAGAAGACCCCCTGGCTGGGGACCAGAATGACCATGACATGGACTCCATAGCTGGCGTCCTGAAGCTTTACTTCCGGGGGCTGGAGCACCCTCTCTTCCCGAAGGACATCTTCCGTGACCTGATGACCTGCGTCAGTAAGTACCTTCCTGGCTTCAGACTGGCCTCTGGGCCAGGGCACCTTGTAGCAACAGATAAGAAATTTCCAGAGTCTTTTTTTCTCGTCAGCTCTGCAGTAATGTTTTCCTTTTCTTCTTTTCTTTGGTGAAGCTTTTCCTCCTTATCATCGCTCCTTCATCCCCTGGTTGGGGAGAAGGGAAAATGACATTTTAGTTAAGAATCTAAAACTACTTGTTAGAATGCCTCGGTTTTTTTCTTCCTGACTCACCTGAAATTCCTTTGCTTCTCTGGGCTTTATCTTTCTTCAGTCAAATACATTTATACTCATATATAAGACGTAGTCCTTTTTAGTTATTGGAAGCTTATACATTAGTGCTTGAGATTTTCATGTACAAAGGGCGAAAGCAGAGACATTGCAAGTATTTCCTGCATGTTGCTTTAACCATGGCATGACTTACCTGCTACATATTTTAGTATGTGCTTTCCTAAGAATAAAGGCCCTCTGCACACTTAGAAGTAGCAGTATATTTTTGCTGAGAGAGATATAGTCTATCTTATCCTCCTTAGAAGTTCTCTGCCTCTTATTCTCTAATTTGGAGCTTTCCTGGCCGTTTCATCCTACTGGGACATCCTCTCATTTGTTTTCCATGGGAAACAATCCATGGGAAGTTGGATTAATCCCAGGTCATCCTGGTATCACGCCGCATTGGAGTGGTGGCTCCGGAGACTGGAAAATGCAGTACCTTTGAGATGGAGGAAAGATCCTTTTCCGCAGGTCGACCAGGGTTTCCATGGTCTGCTCCGCCGCCCCCAACCAAGGTTCCAGTTTGACCTAGTACACTTCCTGGGCACTGCCCTTCTGGGTTATTCTGAGAGAAAAAGACCCCAGAGTGTTCAGGGATCTCTCTTGTTTTATTTTTTGACCCGCTATTTGTGGGAATCTAATGGAAATGAGTTCTGTGGGTGATTAAATACATGCATTCCCTCATGTTTCCATGTCTTTTTTGAAGACTGGGCCCGGGTGGAAAGTCTTACGTAGGATGGGGCTACCAGGACAGTACGAGATACCTTGGCTGCCCTGCTCTCCCCTTGAGTGTGTTCCGCATCCATCACTCTCCATTCCTTTTTTACAAAAAGATATTCCTGATATTCACAAGGCTCACTGTGGAAGTGGGGAAGCTGGCCATTGTGGAGGCCACTAGCCTGGGGCCACAGGTCTTCTCCTACATACCACTGCCGACATGGACAGCCATTTCTTGTCTCTGGACATGTTCTTCTCATCTGCTAGATGGTGGGGTGGAGGGAACAGGGACGAGCCAGACTTGCCCAGAGGATAAGGTGACGCATGTGTAGAGTGGGCAGGACAGGGCCTGCTCCGGCTCGCTCCCTCCCCACACGTAGGCCCTCCAAGGCTGGGTGTCGAGCAGTCAGAGCAGGTTTATGGACAGTTTTTTGTCTGTGGTTGTCTCAATAAGAGGGTGGTAGATGCTTGGGGAATATCTCCAACCCTGTCTGTGCCCAAGGAGCAAATACCTTAAGCCCTGCATCAGTAAATGTCTGGAACCCAGCATGTACCTCATCCCAAGTGCACCAGTGTTATGTGGATTTGTCCTGGCCAATCCCTGTCTTACACCTGCTGGTAGTAAGGGCCTTCTTACGATTACTCCCTGGGTCTCAGTCACAGTGGAAGGTAACACATGGCTTTCTTTCTTTCAGCAATGGACAACCTGCAGGAGAGAGCTCTGCACATCCGGAAAGTCCTCCTGGTCCTGCCTAAAACCACTCTGATTATCATGAGATACCTCTTTGCCTTCCTCAATCAGTGAGTGAACTTCCCAGCGAATAGCTGGATCAGATCTTGGCTTCGGCCACTGGAACTTTATATATGGACCTGTGTCAGTTCATCCAGTCCAGCAAATATTTATTGAATACCTACTACGTGTTGGGCGCAGAAGTAAGCTGTAAGAATACATTGTAAAATCAGAAACAAAAGCCTTAATATCATTTAGCTCACATTCCAGGGGAGGAGACAGATAACAGCAGAAATGTCCGGTAGTAGTAAGTACTTAGAAGAAAATAAGGGATAGAGTACAGGGGTCTGAATGGGGGAGGGGCGAAAGGGAGAGCCACTGTAGCGGGACAGTCAGCAAAGGGCTCTCTGAGGAGCAGCAGCCCAAATAAAATGAAGGAAGAAACCACAGGGCGGTTCAAGACCATCCAGCCCTGAGAGTCATGGTTATTAGGGATTTGGATTTGGGAATCAATCGGATGATTTTAAGCAGGGTTGTTATTATCTGATCTATATGTTTCTTTAAAAACCTACCAACTACTTTGTGGAGAAGTTACTATGAGAGAGAGGCCTATGACAAGAAGCAGGGAGACCCTGAGGTTACTGTACCATCTTGGCAGGGGGCGGGGGGTGGCTTAGGCTGGGGAGGCGATGATGGAGGGTGGCGAGGTGGGGTCAGGTTTGGGGTCTGTTTTGAACATGGCACTGGCAGGACTTTCCGATGGTTAGGGTATGGAGTGTGAGGGACAAAAGCAATTCTACCTTTTAGCATGAGCAGCAGGGAAGTAGTGATGCCATTTATGGAGTTAGGGAAGACCAGGTCTGCGGGAAGGAACCGAGACAAAAGTGCCTGTGTGGGCATGTTCAGTTGAGGTGCCTTTTAGACCTCCAAGGGGAGATTCTAAATAGACGGCTGAACACAGGAGTTTGATGCTCAGAGGGGACACCTGGAGTTGGTGTAACTGCAAGAGGGGTCTGAGGGGACCTTGGGCTTAGATGGAGCGTCTCATCCAAGCAGTGTGTCCTTGCCCAGGGCATTGGAGTCCCCGCGGCAGCAACGTCAGCAAGCAGGGACATGTGCCACTCCTCCCCTTAGGCACCTGTCTTTCCACACTGCTGTCACTGCAGCATCTCCTTCAGCCTCCTGGACCAAAGGTTGTAAATGGGCAACCTGAGAGCCAGATAAGGCCATACGTGTTTCCCTGAAGTCCACTGTGTCTAGAAAGTATTGAAACATTTAAATATCAGGGGTTTACTTTTTTAAAAAATCTTGATTTCTAGCTTCCGTTGAAACATTTTTAGGCCGGGCAATACTGGATCTGCACCGCCCCCCCACCCCACCCCCCCACCCCCACCCCTGGCAGCCGCTCCCTGTGGAGGCGAGAAGAGGCAGGCACCGCCCCAGGCACCCCGCCCCCAGCCCCCCCACCGCTCCTCAATACCCAGGCTGAATTCGGTCACCATTTATCCTCACTCTTGCTGTACAGTTTTTTATATAGTGGAGAAATGTTTTTCTAGATCCATGAATCTATCAAAAGGAGAAAACAAAATTAGGCCAAGGGGCTTAGGGTTTTTTGGCACATATTTCTTTGTGAAAATGCAGAGTCTCCTCAACTCATTGGTCTCTGCTTCAAAGGAATACATTTTTAGAGACCACTGAATGAGCCTCAGCTCGCTTACAAGTCGGCCTAACTCTGTAGGAATCTGGGTTAGTGACCTCAGCCTGAGACCTTTCTGGGTCACCCACACTCTCCCTTGGCACTGTTGCTGGCCCTGCAGAGTGACAGAGGGTGCTGGCTCTGCAGCCTGCCACCTCCGTGTGGCTGTGTCTGCTCCATTTGTTAGCAAGTCCTGACTCAACACCACAGCTGCCTTTGAGTTCAGAACCCCCCATGACTCACACAGGGTGTTCACATACTGCCCAGTTTAGGCTGGTGGCATTGGAAACTCTGGTAATGACTCTTAAGGCCACCATCCTTGTCTCTCCTCCCTGACTGTCACCTGCCCTCGAAGTGAGGCTAGTCTGCTCCCCAGAGCAAGGAGCATGGTGGTAAGTGAACGGGTGGGGAACTGCAGGTCCTGGGGTGAATGTGTGTGTGAGCACAATGGCCTCATTCTCTTCCCCACACTTTCTTTCTGTTTAACGGATGTGGGGGCGGGTGGGGGCGGGGGCTTACAGGAGAGAAGAAACAACAGGGTAGGCATCATCTAGGGATGGAGATGGTGGCCCCTTTTGAAGGAAACATGGGAATTGCATGGATTCAAATGATTTTGTTTTGTTTTACTTTGTTTTCTGATTTAAGAAGATGAATTTATTGAAAAGGTGCAGCATTAATAATCAGTGTTTCCTAAAATAAATGGAATGCAGGACACAAGTGATAAAGAAGACCACCTCCTTGGGAAGATGACAGGTGATGAGTGTGCAGTCGCCAGCAGGTGTAGATAGTCGGCAGACAGCTCCTGCCCCAGACCTTCAAGGCCCTTTTCCGTTATTGCTCTGGGTCCTGAATGTATGTTGCTTTATTTCGGGCTATGGTCTTTTTCTTGGGTTGTACACATCCTCAATTTCAAGGAACCAAAAAAATTTATATTTATATATATATATAAAAAAACTAGTCTTTTAGAGTGCCTAACCGACTGCATGAACCTTGGGTAAGTGCCTCTCCAGAAGGCCTTGTTAATTATCCTGTGTTAGTATCTGCCTTATCTATTGCTGTGTAACAAATGTCTAAAACTTAGCAACTTAAAACTATAACCATCTATTATTATGTCATAGATCTTGTGGGTCAGGAATCCAAGTGCAGTTTAGCTGGGGACCTGTGGTTCAAGGTCTCATGAAGGTGCAGCGAGGGGGCCAGAGACACGGCTGTGGTCTGAGTAGGGGGAAGATCCACTTCCAAGCTCATTTATGTGGTGTTGGCAAGATTCGGTTCCTCAAAGGCTGCTGGACTGAGGACCCCCATTCCTGGCTGACTGCTGGCCAGAGGCCTCTCTTCGTCCCCTACCATAGAACTGCTTACAACATGGCAACTGGCTTCTTTCAGAGCACATGACGGAGAGCGCCCAAGACAAGACGCCACGGTCTTGTGTAACCTAATCTCAGAAGTGACATCCCATCACTTCTGCCATATTCCATTCACTAGAAATGCGTCACAAAATTTAGCCTACGCTCAAAGAGAGAGAATTACACAGGGGTGTAAATAGCGGTAGGCAGAGACCATCGGGTTCATTTTACAGGCTGCCGACTGCAGCATCTCGGCTGTCCAGTGAGTTTTTGCCCCCCAACAAAGTGTGGGTCGTTCCCTCTCACTGCTGCTGACTCTACTGCATGCTTTTGAAACCTGCTTTTTTTCAAATTTCAAGAAATGTTATCTGGTTTCTTGATAATCAAGTGAGGTCCACAGACTAGCAGCGTCAGCATCAGTTGAGAGATTGTTAGAAATTCAGAATTTCCCTCCCTCCCCCGCCAAGACCTGTGAATGAGAATCTGTATTTTAACGAGGTCCCTGGTGAGTTATATGAACACGAAAGTCCTAGAGGCACCACTCCAGATCCTCAAACATTGCTTCACAATCTAAAAGGGTGAATCAGTGGTGCTTCCCTTTCGTGGTTAAAACTGTCCCAGCTGCTGTCCGGAAAAGCTGAGTCTTCCTCTAAACTCGACTGATCTCAAGTGCCCAGATTCTGTCTGGGTTGTTCTTCTGACTTTCATGAGGAGTATTTTGGCTTCTATATGAGTTGGACAAGCAGAATTGTGGCTGAATTGTCTTGGAGATTCACAGATGCTCATGTATTTATTCACTTACTTAACACATATTTATTTAGCATCTACTGGGTACCAGGCCCTGTTTTAGTTGTTGGTTATCTAAGAGTGCTACACAGTTAATGTCTCTGACCTCATGGAGCTTATGTTCTGTTGGAGGAAGGCAGACAAAACTGATCAATACACATATCATATGTCAGAGGATAAGGGCTGTAGAGAAAAAGTAAAGCAGGTAAGGGGGCTGGGGAGCACCAGGGTAGGGGTGAGGGGTTTGCTCTTTAATATATAGTGGTCAAGGGACACCTCACTGAGCAGCAACAGTGGACAGTGACGTAGGAGGAGAACTGAGAAAGAACAGTGTCCCAGAAGCCACAAAGAGAAAGTATTTTGAGCATGGTATAAAAACTCTGTTCAATGAGCTGACAGGTCAACTAAGAAAAGGACTGAGAAATGATTTAGCAGCGTAAATATCTGTGGTGACCCTGGTGAGTATTGTCTTGATGGAATAGAAGGGGCAAAATCCTGATGGTTTTGTCATTTCAAGAGAGAAGGGGTGCTGATGATGGATAAATAAAATGCAGTAGGTCCATACAGTAGGGTAGTGTTCAGCCATCAAAAGGGATGAGGTACTGACACATGCTATGTTATAGATGAGCCTTGAAAACATCTTATCAAGTGAAGAAGCCAGTCACAAAGACCACATATAGTATGATTTCATTTGTATTAAATGTCCAGAATAGTATTAAATATCCATAGGATCAGGATCACGTATCCAGGGACTTGGGGGAGGGAGAATGATGAGTGACCGCTTAATGGATACAGGGCTTCTTCGGGAGTGATGAAGGTGTTCTGGAACTAGACAGCGGTGGTGTCTGCAACATTTTGAATACACTAGACGCCACTGAATTGTACGCTTTAAAATAGTTAAAATGGTAAATCTTATGCTTTGCATATTTTACCACAGTAAAAAAAAAAAAAAGAGCGGGGGGAGGGCCAAAGTGTGAGTCCTCTAGAGCACCCGTCATAAAATACCACAGACGAGATGGCTTAAACATTAGCAATTTATTTTCTCACAGTAGTGGAATCTGGAAGTCCACGTCAAGGTTCCAGCAAGGTTGGTTTCTGGTGAGACCTCTCGCCCTGGCTTATAGATGGGCCATTTTCTCAATGTGTCCTTACATGCCCTTTCCTGTGTGCACACACTGGGAAAGAGGGCTATGGTGTCTTTTCCTTTCCTTTTTTAAATTCCCACCTGAGGATATATTTATTGATTTTAAAGAGAGAGGAAGGGAAAGAGAGAAACATTGATAGGTTGCCTCCACTAAGCATCCCAACTGGGGATCAAACCCACTACCTAGGTATGTGTCCTGACCTGGAATCGAACCTGTTACCTTCTTGTTGTATAGGATGGCCCTCTAGCTGACTGAGCACCCAGCCAGGGTTCCTTTCCTTACAAGGAAACCAGTCTCGCCCTTATGACTTCATTTAACCTTAATTATCTCCTTTAAGGTCGTATCTCTAAATACAGTCATATTGGCGGTGGGGCACAATTCAGCCTATAACAAAAGAGATGGAGCCCTGGCTTGTGTGGCTCAGTGAATTAAGTGTTGGCCTGCACACCAATGGGTCACTGGTTCAATTCCCAGTCTTGGGCACATGCCTGGGTTGCAGGCCAAGTCCCCAGCAGGGAACGTGCGAGAGGCAGCTACACATTGATGTTTCTCTCCCTCTCTCCCTCCCTTCCTTTCTCTAAAAATAAAATAAAATCTTAAAAAGAGAGAGAGATGGAAAGGAGTCAGAGAATCAGAGACAGCTGGTACAGACAGTGCTCAAAGAATTTTATTATAGAGGAGGAGAGAAATGGAACAGTAATTTAGTGTGGACATGGGATTAAGAGAATTTCTTTTTTAAGATGGATGGTATTACTATGTTTCTATGCTGGTGGGAATGACCTAGTAGAGAAGGAAAACTGATGAAGGAGAGAGCAAGGACAATTGCTGGACTGATACTCTTGAAGAGGTGAAAGGAGATGGAATCCACGGCATAGGAAGAAAGACAGAAAATAAGGGAACAGAGGCAAGATGGTGAATAGTTTGGGGAGCGCGGAGGATGGGCAGGGCGAGTGAGGGCGCGCCTTTGCAGGACCCTCAGAAAGAATCAGTCAGAATCACTTCTCAGTTCTGGTCTCTCAGGGGGCCTGTTGGGAAAGTCTAGGGAAGGCTGTTAAGTCATGGATTTATAGAGGCAAGTTTTGGTGCCTCTCGCTGTGAAAGCTTTCAAAGGCCTGATGGATTCTCAACCCCATGTTTTGCCTAGGGCCATGGCAAATTATACAATTTCTCTTCATCCTTTTCAAACCTATAATCAAGCTTGATGCATAATATCTTACCCGTAGTCTGTTGGTTGTTGCCAGATCAAATCCCTGAGGCCTGTGAAGTTGAAGGTTTTCTAAGTGAAATATCATGTATTTAAAATAGCCTGTCCAAAGTTTAGTGTTTTCCCTGAGGATTTAAAGTTTTGGTTTTGGGATCTCGAGCCTTCAGCCTGTTAGATGATGCATGTCCGGAGAAGAGGGTAGACTCTTATAAATCAGTTACTGCCAAATGTCAGCAGGCCTGCTACCCTTTCCCAGACTAGAACCAAGGGTCCTGTGTCAGGCAGCAATCAGGATGTTATTAATTACAGAAAATATCTGTGGAATCCCATCTATGTGCCAGCCACAGGGCTCAATACTTAGCATATATTACCTCATTTAATCTTCGTAACAGCCCCATGGAGGCACAGAATGGCCTCCATTTTCTGATGATGAAACTGGGGCAAAGTCATGGAACTCGCAAAGCAACAGAGCTAGGACTCAAAACCAGGTCTGTTGGACCTGAAAATTCTTGGGATATATTTTGTTTTTTCTTTTCAAATGTAATCAAAGAGGCAAATGTGCCTCAGTAAAGAGTAAGAAATCCAGAAAAGTACATGAATCCAGAAAAGGACGTGATAAAAAGACAAGTTTCCTGCACCAATCCTAATTTTCTCATTCTCCCCCACAAAGTCTATGTTCCCAACCATGATGCTGAATCTTTCAAAGTTGCACAAAAGCTAATGAGTTCAAATCAGTTAGGATTCACTAATGTTATAGACCGAAACTATAAAAATATAGCACAACTCTTAGAGGAAATATATATATGCACCATAATACCCAAAGTTGTATGTATTTGAATGTGCACATATGAATTTTTCTGGGGAGAAAATCTTTAGTTTTCATCAAATTCTTAAAGGAGCCTGTTTCCCCAAAAAGTTGAGAGCCATGGCTTTAACTCCTAAACTTAAGGTGTTCCCCTTGTAGATTGGAAGAGGAGAGTCTTTGTCTGCATTTTCTTGGGAGTAAGAAATAAAACTAGACCTGTGACACCACAGTCCTTGCCTTAGAAGGCCCAGCAAGGTTTCTCTTTTCTCACAGAGCTTTGGCTGGTAATTTCAGGGCTAGAGTTTGCTTCCTTTGACCACCAGACTTCCCAGAAAATACTCGTTTCCTTCCATGTTACCAAAATATGGTCAGCAGACACTACAAAAGCAGGGTCTTCCTCCTCCTTGACCCTCCATGACACCAGAAACTGGCCAAGCTGGGATTAGCTACAACTTGAGGCCCCTTGTGCCTCAGTTGTCCCTGCTGAGGTTACCAAGGTAATTACTAGTCTGCCTGCCTGCCTGTCTGTCTGTCTCTCCCTCCAGTTTTTATTTGACCAAGAAGACAACTTAGAAACTTCTCCCAGCCTTTTCTGAATCTCTGCTCTCTTTTAACTCAGGAGCCAGAGAAGGATTGTAAAATTAACTTTTTATGACCTCCTATAAAGCGGTCCGGCCCCTGCGATCTATAACCTCACCCATCGCTGCCTCCCTGCATTTGACTAGGTCCTAGAGATCAGTGACTCTGAGTCCTGACTGTTCTCTCCACAACAGTTATTCACATTCACTGTACCATTTCACGTTTTGCCGGCCTTCTCTAAGGGGGATGGGGGGAGTATCTGAATCTTCGGTAGAAGAGAGAACCATTGAGTTAGAGACCAGCTTGGTACTTTGCATGTGGGTGTGGGACACACTAGAAATAAACTCTGCCAGTTTTGAAGAGCAGCTACTCACATAAAGACAGCTCAGTCGCAGGCCTCTGGTTCAGCATCGGAGGGCTTTGGTATCTTCTCAGGCTCTGGCAGAATCAGGTGCTGGGGACTTCTGCTCATGCCCCTAAAGGAAGCAGAACTCCTTAGCGGAGTCCACTGTTCTGCAGGCTGGGTGGGGGCGGGGCGGGGGGTGGATATCCAGAGCTGGCCCAACCTTCAGTGCCTGGACAGATAGAGACCAGTGGGTCTCATCAGGTGCAGTGGTTCACTGAAGGGCTTGGGTCCTCAGCCAGAGTTGAAGATGTGGCTGGAGCAGCTGCTGGCTGGAAAGAGGGAGTTCTCAGAATAAATGAATACCTGCTAATGAAGTCAGACTGCATCCAGACGACGCCTAAGTAGAAGCTGAATAGCATGCTGATCTTTTCCGGAATAAATCCTGAATATAATAATAAAGGAGAATATTATGAAAATGAAAAATAATTGCATTAGCTGTTCCAGAAAGAAATCTACTGGCTTGATGAAATATAAAAGCTGATTGGTTACCTGTTTTTAAAAATAAGTCTAGGTCTTAGAATGGACGATTTCTAATAATTTGATTATATTGCTATGCATGAAAGTTCATGATGCACAGCGCCTGTGTCTTCTAACCCTGTTATTACCAGGGCAGCCTGAGGGTCTTCATCTGCTCTGCCATCTTAGAGGATTGGCCTATTGGAGCCGTATCCAGCTCTGCAGGGTGGCATGTTGTCAAGGCAGGGTGGACTTGGTGGATAAGGTCTGGGGAGGGACCATAAGTAGGATTTGAATGGGGAGCTGGAGAGAGAAGAGGGGTGAGGCCTGCGAGGGGGCACTTCTGCTTTGCCTTTCCTTCGCTCCTCAGTGACCTGGCTCCTGGTGGTTATTCTCTTCCTGCTGCCAACTTTCTAGAAGGACTCTGCTACCCAGAAGAGCAGGTGGCAATTTGCGGAACTCCTGTTCTTGCCCTTGGCTTCGCCTCCTGTGGCTGTGTTTTCTGGGCATTCGTGCGCATGCTTTCCAGCTTGCACCCTTTCCCTTCTCCTCCAGTTTGTCACAGTTCAGTGAAGAGAACATGATGGACCCCTACAACCTCGCCATCTGCTTCGGGCCCTCGCTGATGTCAGTGCCTGAGGGCCACGACCAGGTGTCCTGCCAAGCCCACGTGAATGAGCTGATCAAAACCATCATCATCCAGCATGAGAACATCTTCCCAAACCCCAGGGAGCTGGAGGGCCCTGTCTACAGCAGAGGAGGAAGCACAGAGGATTACTGGTAGGGGTCTCAGGGCTGACGGAGGGGAGGGCATCGCCAACGCACACCGGTCTGGGGGCCAGATGGCCAAGCGAAGCCAAAGGGAGACAGTCAGATCTTCCCAGCCTCCCGCTCCCAGACTTTTCAAGCTGCCCGGATCTTGGGACAGTGTAGGCAGTGCCCCACCTTGACCCGACCTGTGGAGTAAGTGCCATTTCATGCCGCCTTTCTTTCTTAGGAGTTCTGAGTGGTGAGGGACCATTCTGAACGAGAATGACAATAGCCATAGCAATATTAACAATCTCTAGGAAAGGCAGTGTCATACAGTTGTACATAGAACTGCTGTTCATCAGTCACCAGTGCCTCTCAGGCTCCTACTCTGTGCTGTGCATTGTGGGAAACAGCCCTGGTTCCTGAGGGATTTCTGTCATATTGGGAAGAGTTCCGATGTGGGGCATACTTTGCTGACTCTGGGTTTGTAAGATGATTGCTCAGAATGATTTCAGAAATTCATGAAGAGAAAGAGAGGTAAGCTCCGTTTTTAGCTGGTTGGCACAGTTCCACTGTGAAGTGGTGTTAAACCCTGCGGGGACGAGGTGTGTCATGCCCTGGCCTGGTAGCAGAGATATGACAGGACCCTAAGGCACATAGACCCTTCAGTCGGGCAAATATTGACTATTTCCATTTTACAGATGAAGTCACTGCAATGCCGAGTGGCCAGTGACAGTCTTTCAGGCCACACCAATGGTGGGGATTCCAACCCTGACCTCTTGTCTCTTAGTACAGGGTACCATCTACTACTACCTCACGCTGTCCCCAGGAAACCACTTACCATGTCATTTTCCCACTAAACACAGGCAACTGCCTCTCTCTTTTACGTACTAATATCCTTTACCTTCTCCTCCCCACTCCCCTCTCCCTGCTTCCCCTAAATAGTGTTTCAGCCTGGGCTGAAAGCATAAGGCTGCCCAAGTCGGATTCAGTCTGAATTCAACATCTGGAACCAATTCAGCCAGCCCCATTGCTATCGACTGAGGTAGGGAGGGCAAGGGAGGTTGTTTACTTAATTAGAGGCCAATTGGTCCACACTTCTCCCTGATCCCCACAGAAGGAACTTCGTGCCCAGGGAGTAAGGAAAGTGATAGTCATGTGTCTATGAACCTAAAAATATCACTGACATCCCTGGGTTCAGTCTTCTCTACCGTCCTGCAGATCCCAGTATCTGGGTCTGAGCGGGAGCCACCTCAGCTTGTCAGCTCAGAGAGAAAGCTTTTTGTCGCTGACAGATGGTTGGTGGGAACTGGGGAGGTTGCTCAGGTCTCAGCCCACTGGCTGAGGGGCTCCAGGGAGCTGTCCCTGTGCCCACGACTTAGTCAGTTTCCCCCTTGCATGAGTGTTAGAAAGCTGTGGAGTAGTTTTCCCAATTCCTGCTTTACCTTCCTTCTAAAGTCTGCCCTCAGTTCTCAAATATCAAACCACCATAGGCTCTGGACTGATCCCAGGACATAGCCTCTCACAGCCCCTTACCGTCCTGCGTCCTGGGCCCAGCCCAGTGGAACAGATAGAGCCCCAGTGCGAGGTGGGAGCGCGGGAGGGCGCCTTCCTCCGGTTTCCTCCAAGGTGTTCTCCTCGGCCCCCTGTTGTTTGTTACACATCCAGCATTTATTAGTAGCCTCTGGGGAAAAAAATGCAAGATTAAGGAATGTTACCACCACAGTCTGGGTGGGAAGGCCTGGGCCGCAGGCCAGAAGCACCCAAGGATCAAGAGTAAATGACCTTGGGGGTAAAAGGGACCATCTGAACTCTGGGTTCACACCCACTCAGAAGGCTCCTAGCCTTTCCTTTTGGGGGAGAGAGAAGTACCAGTGCCTTGAGCTAAGACTGATGAAGGAGGTGAGGGAGGGGTAGCAATAGGGGTGCAGGCACCCAGGAATCCTGGAAAATAACCAAGAGACTAAAAGAGCCAGGAAGAGGGAGCACCAGGCCACTTGGCCTCCCCATGACCCCGGGGAGGAGAGGCCAGTCCCACTTCAGCACACTGACCAACCCAGAGACTGGAGCCAGCTTTTTGGAACCGCCGGCCGTATGGCATGCTGGACCTCTGAGACTGCAGGCGTTGGTGGGCCTGGGACTGTCGCTGGGGTGGGGGCCTGCAGTGAGAAAAACATAGGATTTTAGGGCAAGAAGGGACCTTTAAAAACATCATCTTTTTCCTTAGAGCAACGGGTTTCAGAGTGGGGTCCCTAGACCAACAGCACCTGCATCACATGGGACTGGTTAGAAATGCAAATAGACCTAGTGAATCAGAAGCTCTGGGGGTAAAGCAATCTGTTTTTAACAAGCCATCCCAGACTATGAAGTTCAAGAACTGCCTCATAGTGGATGGCCACATAGATGGGCTCAGAGCCCTGGGGAAAAGTGAGTCTTTGCCCTCTGCACCCCTGGCACCCCATGGATTTCCAGAATGTCACCAAACTCATCAGACAGTTTTTAGGCCCAGAAAACAGTGAGAAATTGTGCCCAGGTTTTTTGACAAAGAGAAATCCCTGCTAATGGCCTCCCGCAATGTTTTCTGGAGTCTGGAGAACCTCCTTGGAACTGACTTGCTGCCAGTGGTGTGAGCTCTGAACTGGTCTTCTGGTCTTTGAGGACCTTTCTAGGAGTAGAGACCATCCCGTAAGGAGGAAGAGGTGTAGGCTCAAAGGTAGAAACAGGCCAGGCGGTGGGACTGAGGCTGTGATGCTGCTTCCCTAGAACTGCTTGCAAGGGCTCGCTCATTACTACCAAATGCCAGAGAAAGCCTTTAAAGTGAAAATTTTTGTTTGTTTGTTTTGCTTTTCTACTTTCGACTATACACTCTGACTTTTGACTATACACAAGCCGAGAAAGCAGGAGGCAAAAACAACTCCTGGTGACTTCTCGCCATTCTAGATTCTCAACCCTGGATACCTTTAGCCTTCATGAATTTTTCAAGAAACTTGACCTGACTTCCATCCCCCAGCCTGTTGCAGGGTTCAGCCCAAGCAGACTCTTCTTCCCCTGCTCTTACCTCCCATCCATTTCTGTGACTCCCCTCCCACTTTCTTACCAGTACATAGACTAGACTACAAAGTGGCCTAGAGACATCAAACAAAATGAGAAAGAAGGAAAAGAAGTGCAGCTTATCGGCCACCCCTTCTTGTTTCACTGAACCCTCATACAACTCTATGAGCTCTGTAGACCATTTAGAGATTAGGTAGCTGAAGCTTAAAGAGATTAAGTAACTTGCCCAGGGTCACACAGTGACCAAGGGTCAGAGCTGATTTTTGGATCCAGTTGTATCTGATAGTAAAGCCTAGTGTTTTTCTTCTCCCATGCTCCCTTCAGGAACTAATTCACCTAGAGAAACAGCCCTTGAGAGGATGAGTTGTTCTATATTTTAGAAAAGATTTGTAATTCATAAGGGGTTCCCTTTGTCTCAAGATACTCCAAGTAGTCTCAAGTCGTTTTCGTAGCAGGAGCTCAGAGAACTCAGGAGCCTTGTATTTCATTATTTACGTTTGTCTGTTGTGTGCAGTCAGGATGTAAAGAGCATAAGATAGATCCCATGCCCTTGCTCCAGGGAGCTGTGCGGGGGAGAAGACAAGAACTTGGTAAGCCGGCACTGAGGCCCTGGCCCCTTCTTGCTTCTGTTGCAGTGACAGCCCTCACGGAGAGACTACCTCGGTTGAAGACTCCACCCAGGATGTGACCGCAGAGCACCACACAAGCGATGACGGTACGAGGTCCCACTTGGGGTCAGCGGGGCTCCCAGGGTGAAGGCCATCCTGTGCTCCGGATGAGTCTTCCTGCCCAGCAGTCCGCTGAAGCCAGCCAGAGAGCCCTCCTCTCCTTCCTTCCCTTTCTTGAAGAGGCAGCCCGCTTTCTCAAATAGGGCGGTCTCTGTATTAGACCAAAGGTGAAAAGCTAGACATTTCATAGCCTCTCAGCCTTCTCGCCGCGACACCTTGCCCTTGCCCACCTAACAGCTCCTTGTTTTGCCAGCATGTCAGCTCCTATCGCAGCCTAGACTCCTGCCAGGTAATTAGAGACCAAAGTGAGGAAGAGCTCATTTGAAAAGCAGTAAGCCGGGGACATACAGAAGCTGAGTGCCAGCGACCCATCAGAAGCAAGCCAGAGGGGAATGGGAATCAAAATGCAGAAACCACACACTTCCATGCCTGCCGACTGGAAAAAATGACCCTTCCCAGAGCGCAGACGTGGGCACTGCGCGGTGGGTGCGCATCACGAGGTGGAATGCACAGCTGCTGTCCGCGGGCCCCTCGGCAGTGCCCGTGATTTATTAGGGCCTGTCCAGCCAGCACATTTCCCCTCCTTCCAACCGTTCTGTACCCCATTTCTCGATCACTTGGGCTCTGGAAGCCTCAGCAGCTGACAGGGGGCCTTCAAATTTTCTGGACATGAGAATGAAATAGCACATCTGCCGAGTGTTCCCTCCTCCCAGCTTCGCAATGAATTCTACAATCCTCAGGCAGCTTTTAAAGGGGAAAACATCAGCGCTGCTTGTTTGGATCCGGATGTCAGGTGGATCAGTGTGACAATTTGCCGCATTACGGGAGGGAAGTAGGTGAACTAGAGAAATTTGTATTTGATTAGCTTACTGTGTGCCTACCACTGCCAGAGGCTTTAGATGTCTTATTTCCTAATCCCTGGCGACACAGAGCTGCTAATTTTGAGAAAACTGGGTTAGAGAGGTCACGTGCCATGCCTGAGGCTGTGCAGAACCGAGAGTGGGGTGTGTAGAAGGCCTTCTCTGGTCTGCCACGCGTACTGAAACCTCGGCCCCGCCCACTCAGGAGCAGCCTCACCAGCCAGGGCTGTCTAGGCTGTTGCTGGTAAGCAGCCTTTCTCTCCACAACTCAGAATATCTGACTTCAATCTCAGGTTTCAGGTTTCTAGGGTCTTCTTTTTGCTCTCTGACCTCTACCTGCAGTCCAGAACAGATAATGGGGACAGTAAGAACAATGGCTAACACATACGTAACACTTACATGGGCCAGGCACTTTCCTAAGCACTTCGACAAATAGTTATTGATCCAAACAAACCAAAAAACCAAACTCATAGATACAGATAACAGAATGGTGGTTACCAGAGGGGAAGGAGATCGGGGGGCGGATATAAAGGGGGTCAGATATATGGTGACAGAAGGAGGCTAGACTTCAGGTTGTGAGCATACAATAGAGTATACAGTTCCATATTATGAAGTTTACACCTGACTTTATATAATGTTATTAACCAAATATTACCCCAATTAAATTTTTTAAAAAGTATTAACTCCTCATAACCTCATGAAAAAAAGCACTATTATTATCCCCATTTTATAGACAAGATGGAAGCTCACACAGATGTAAAACACATTGCATTTGTAAACCCCTTTTAATTTTTCGAATCACTTTTATGTGCATTTTTCCATATATTGTCCAAAATATATTTCTATATTTTATTCCTTGGAAATTTGATTGAGACGGTTACTTTCTCTTTATAGAAACTAAAAGCTCACATTCTACTGGGGGAATGGATAATATAAATAAATTATTTAAAGTACAATATGAATGTTCTATAATTAATGGAATTATTTTCTAGTCAGAAGAGAAATGATGCTTAAAAATACAGTGTGGCAAGGTCAGTGAAAGGGGTTGTACTGAAAGACTATAAAAACACCAAAGAAGTTACTGTAGGAAGCAGGTGATATTTGACTTGTGACTTCATGTGCTTCATCAGGTTGGTGAGAGAGGGATTCCTAGTGTAGGGAGCAGCATGAACAAAGACAAGGGAGGGCGTACAAGTGCTTTCAATATAATAGCACAGACACGGAAATTACCTGCTTTATACATCTTCATATAAGGTTATCTCCCCACCGCTGTACATTCAGCTAATTGGGCTTTTCCGCTCAGTTTCCTGAGTCTATAAATCCCAACAACATGTGTTTCCTTCTTTTCCGCCCCTCTCAGAGTGCGAGCCCATCGAGGCCATTGCCAAATTTGACTACGTGGGCCGGACAGCCCGAGAGCTGTCCTTCAAGAAGGGGGCATCCCTGCTGCTTTACCAACGGGCCTCTGACGACTGGTGGGAAGGCCGGCACAACGGCATCGACGGACTCATCCCCCATCAGTACATCGTGGTTCAAGACACGTACGTTAGGCCCCCTGCCCCTTTAGGGCTCCCTGGCTGCACTGTGGGAGTGAGGCTTTATTTCTGGAGCCTGAGGGGGTGAGGGAGACCAACCCCCAGGAGGCATCAGTACGGTGTCGGGGTCACACAGCTCGTTGGAAGACCCCAGGACTCCGTGGAGAACTGCTCCTTGCCACGCTCCACCGCCATCCCCACCACTGTCATTTTAAAAACTCGGCGGTCAGCACTCATCCACACTTAAGCCTGATGAGTGATAATGAGGGGCTATTATTTGACCACTTATATTTCCTTTCCGGAAAGGTCAGATTGGGGAAATATCTTTATTCCCTTTCTTAAAAGAACTATGCCCACCCCAACCTGTTGGGCCACTGTTGGTGTTTTTCCACTTAAATGAAAATGATGAGTTCCTGTTCTAGGAGAAATCTAGCTTACGCAGCCTGTGAAAATGACCCAGTTCATTTAACCCAGATGAAGTAGACTTGGGAAAAGACTGGGAGAGGAGGGAAAAGGATGTCAGCAAACAAAGGGAACATGAACTGGCCCCAAGAGACTTCAGAGAATGGGCTGTCACGTGGTTCCCGTTCTTCGAAGCAGTGGCTCCTGGCAGGAAGGCTTCACCCGTGGCCCGGCAAGCCAGCCTCCCTCCCCCATTGCCCTGCCTCTGCTCCCGACTTCCTCCCCTCGGTTATGATGCTGTCAGTGTCTTTAGTCCTTCCCTTAATATTATTTTTTAAAGGTTGATATCCTGAATGAGTCTGCACCCTCCCAGCCTCTCCCCAGCTCGTTCCGCGGGGAAATCCTCCCTCTGTTGATAACATCGCAAACCTGGTGGCCATCTGTGCGTGGACAGGACCCTCCCAAATTTAGCATTATGACTTCACTACAGGACCGAGAGAAGATGAATTATGGGGGAGAAGGGGCTTTCTTTGTCATCAGTAGCCAGAGGGGCCAGGAGATCAGTGGAGAGACCTGGGACCGGCTGGGACGCTCTTAAGTGGGGCTGGATACACTACGACAGAGAGTGGCAGTCCTGCCTCAACGCCGGCATCTCCAGAGCCACCGCAGAGCGGACTGTCCTTACCTGGCAGCGCTCGGGACCTCAGCAGATAAACCGCAACCTGAACTGGCCTCCTCCTTCTCCAGGAGGTGGCCCCAGCACAGCTGCCCCCCCAAGGAAAGCAGCATGGGGTAGAAGGCAGATGCCTCGAATCCAGGGGTCTCCTAGCGCAGCTTTCCGGAGCAGCTGAGGGTCCTGCAGAACTCAGCGGGATTATTTATTTTTATTTAAACGACCTTCCTAAGGCCCTTAGGTTTCCTTGCCTCTGCTCACAGAGCTAGCCCAGCCAGGCGTTGCTGCTGTCTCAGAGCTGTTGCGGGGTCGCGTGTGTGTTGGGGGGCCATCTTGCTGATTTAACACTGCTTTTTGTGTTGTTTTCCCTGCCTGCCTGTCCCTTCTCCCCCAGCGAGGACGGTGTCGTGGAGAGGTCCAGCCCCAAGTCTGAGATTGAGGTCATTTCTGAGCCACCTGAAGAAAAGGTGACAGCCAGAGCGGGGGCCAGCTGTCCCAGTGGGGGTCATGTAGCCGATATTTATCTTGCAAACATCAACAAGTAAGCTCTGCTTTTCATTTTCTGCTCCTCTGAATGCCTTGCCACACCCAGCCTCACCCTCTGGCCTAAACCCCCCCTCCATTCCGAGCTGCACGGAGGGCTCCAGCTCCGCCGGGCCTAACAGTTTGCATGTGCTCCTTGCTGCTACAAGGCGGACAGGGCTGAGGACGCTTCCACAGGCCTCTTCGGCAGGTCCGGGCCTCCAGCTAGCTGCCATCCTGCCACGGAAGGGCGCTCCACTCACTTCCCGCGGGTTTGTCAGCTCCGACCTTCCTGGCCGTCTGACTGCTAAAGCTTTGGCCAAAGCTTTGGTTACTTTAAGCAACTTGGTTTTCTACTCTTCTAAGAGGTGCCTTCTCTTTTCCAGTCCTCACTCAAATAATAGCCTGTGATGTCTTCCTTGGCTCTTGTTTGTCCAAAGATGCGAAGTCTCGTGTGTCTTCTACTAGGCTCATGTTACCCCACGGAGGTTCATTTAGTTGTCATGTGTCTGTTTTTCACCCAGTCCTGCATTCCCTCCTTTGAAGGAAAGGAGACCACTGTGCCCCCACGGAAAGCTTTGTCGCAAGCTCTTTATTCCTTGTCTAACCGCCAGCTCCCTTACTTTCTGCCCTGTCACACCAGTAGAAATAACTTTCCATTGTTTCCCTGTTGCTTTAGGCCTGTGTGTTATCCTTCCCTGTTAGTCCCTTTGCAGATTCCCACTCCTGTCCAGCAGGCTCTAAACTCTGCCCCAGCTTTCATTGTGGCTGTTAGCAACATCCTGGGGTTTTAACTCCACCCACACCCGATCTGGCTGCCTAGAGGGATCCCACGCCTGCCTGTGTGCTGCTGCCTCCCCTCGAGACATTCAGGTTATTGGAAAACTAATCTCATCTCAAGGGGCCAGACACCAAGTCCCAAAGCCTACAGACCTCTTTCCGCCAGACCCTGAAACCTGGCCCAGTGCCAGCAGGATGACAAGCCCCAGGGCGCTCCTGATGAATATGGATTGGAGATGATGTACAGTTTTTATTCCCCTCTGGCTTTGGAGGAATGAAATGATTTGCACATTGAAAACCTGTTAACCGTAGCCTCTGGACACTGAAACTGGAAGGAGAATAAAAGATGCTTGTTGTTTTTAAACTGCACCAGGTCGCCCAGATCTCTTGGCTTTTTTCCAACCAGTCGGTAGCAGGGGGCGTGGTTGGGGCACGTGGCTCTTCTCCATCTCTTTCACCCTCGAGTTAGTAAAGTAGCTTAATCAGCTCACTTAGTCAGTGTAGTTATAATTGAAGTCAAACCAGTAAAAATGACTGAGGATTTTATTTATTTCCCTCCAGCATAGTACCCTGCTGGGAGGGCAAGCTAGTAAAAAGTAACTGTGGGCTAATCACATTTTTTTCACTTATTTACAAGTCTGTGTTAATCATAAACCTACAATCATAAGGTCAGAAGCCTATAATTAACCCAGAAACCAAGGCAGAGCTGGTGGAGGGACAGTTAAATAATTCGTTAGTTACATATTTTTAAACCATCGTATATTTCATGTCATTGGTATAAAGGAATTGTATAGAATCATAGCTGAAATAGATGAACATCTGGTAGAAAGTTAAGGCAGTTCCCTTGAGCTCCTTGCTCGGTGGTATCAGCATGGAGTGTTCGGAGCACGCGGCCTCCCTGGGCACCAGCTAGTCCATGGGAGCAGCACCCCTGGGCGCATGTCATGCCCTTAGGGGGACTCTGCCTCCGACTCCTGCCCCACATGTCACTCCTATGGCCCATCACTTTCCTGAGTGCCCCGGGTGCTCTCTTACCCAGACACACTTGCTGTCTCCTCATCTGGCCGTCCTCTCCTTTCGAGACTTAGTCCGAAGACTTACCTCTCTGGGGAAGCCTTTCTGGCGCCTTGTAGTTCCTCGGGGCTGAGTTCAGTGCCCTCAGTCTGTCCAAAGCAGCCTGTTTCTTTCAGGACTCAGGCTGCACTCAGATCCTCCCGCAGGCTGAGCTTTTTGAAACCAGGGACTACGTCTTCCTCTCCTTGCATCCCTGGGGCCTGCCCAGGGCCTGGCACACTCTAGTCACTCCACACATCTTCTCAGCAGCTTTCGCCGTGTGAGTCAGCCATCCTCGAATGGAAAAAGGAAATCAGCAGAGTTATTGGGATGTGGCATTTTTATTTAATTTCACACATTTATTGAGCATTTACTGCTGTACCAAGCGCCAGTGCTGGCTATTCAGAGAGGAATAAGATGGTCCCTGGCCTCAGAGCTCAGTCTGGCAGGATGAATACCTTATAGACAGGTAGCTAAAAAGCACTGAGTGCCATAGATGCTCTCAAGGAACAGGAGAGGGAATGATTGATTCTGCCTACTGTTGGATTTGGGTGCCAGGGAAGAGAAAGAGTTATTTCAGCTGGGCTCTATAAGACACTGAGAACATCCTTTTTCCATTTAAGAATGGCTGGTGCTCACGGTTAAACTGCTGAGCAGGCAAGGTTCATGGAATATGTACTTTGTGCAGGTCCTGGATCAGGCGCCGTGGTTATACAGTGAGGAAGACCGAACCAGTTAAGAGTACCAGGACTGGCTTAGAATGTTGGCCCTGCCTCAGAGACTAGGTCCTACCCCTACCCTTCCTCCTTCCTCAGCTTCCACTCAGACCCAGACACCCTTCGTAGATTTAAGATCAAAGCTGCTCAGCTGCCATCCCAGACCAGATGTTCTGTTGCTTCTTAGATTAGGTCCTTGAGAATCTAATTCCAAAAGAAAATGAAATTATTCAGCAGTGGGCAACATCCATATAACTAAGGACTCTGCCAAAGCATTCCATGTGAGCACCTTAGTGGTCTGAAATAAGCTAACCCAGAACCAGGGCTCGGTCCAGTGCTGGGTGACTTAGGGACATGTAGATGTATTCCCACCCTAAGAAAATGCACAGACCTGGTCCTAACTCTGCAACATTGCAGACTTTGGAAAAATAGTGTTCCATGTCTATAAAATAAGTAACAATAGCCTCTTGCCAAAGGCCAAATGATTGCAGCCTTGTAATTGGAGAAAGAAGTGGGCTAAAATTTGGAAAAGTCAAGTCTCCTCTTACCTGCAATTCCCTACCTCCTTGGTGATGGTGAGACTTTTTCTCCTGCCCGGGCCTGATTTCTGTTCAAAGCAGGTAATAGAGGGGCCTTTCCATGAATCTCTCCCCCATTAGAAACTTTCACTTAATCAGACATATTTCCTAACAGCAGCATCTTACATCTTGAGAACTCAAAGCCCACGACTACCAAGTAAGTATCCACTTCTCCTTTGCCCAGGTCGGGGTGGTAGGGGAACAGAGACATGGAGAAAGCAGAGGAGAGAGCCAGCTTGGTGCCCTCTGCTTCCAGAAGTCCCTGGGTGCCAGCATCTGCCCCTCCCTCACTCACCCTGGCTTCCTCGGAGCCAAGGCTCCCTGGTCACACTGCCCTCTCTGTTTGTGATTGAAGGCAAAGGAAACGGCCAGAGTCTGGGAGCATCCGGAAAACATTTCGGAGTGACAGCCATGGGCTGAGTGGTTCCCTCACTGACTCCACCTCCCCAGGGGTGGGGGCTAGCTGCCGACCATCTTCCCAGCCCATCATGAGCCAGAGTCTCCCCAAGGAAGGGCCGGATAAGTGTTCCGTCAGCGGGCACGGGAGCCTCAACTCCATCAGCCGCCACTCATCCCTGAAGAACCGGCTGGACAGCCCACAGATCCGGAAAACGGTGACAGCCGGAAGGTCAAAAAGCTTCAATAACCATCGGCCCATGGATCCTGAGGTCATTGCACAGGTAACTGAGGGCTCCTGGACAAGCAGCTGGCATGTCTACACTTGTCACTACTGCTTAGTGCAGCCCTTGTTTATGACAGACCTTGAAACAGCGCAGTGCTTTGCACGTCATGTCCCAAGTTCAGGGACTCTTGGGCATTTGGACCTGATAAGATGGCTTTCCAAGAAATTTGCCAGTTGCCCTCTCCCTAAGAGGAACTTGAAGATGGAATAAAAGAATTCAGGCTGCTTGCTCATATATGGGCTATTTGCAAGGCTGTTGTAATTTTTTTTTTTTTTTAGATTTTTTTTTTTTGTCTTTCTTATATTTTTTCCATTACCATTTAGTCCCCTTATACCTCCTCGCCCCAGCAATCACCACACTGTCTGTTGTAATTTTTAAAGCCAGTAGTTACAGATAGAATGTTTTAATGGAGTCCATTTAGCCCACGTTTTGAGTCTTGAGACCCTGGTAGACTTTGGGAAGCTGCCTGAGTGTTGAGGCTCAGATGTAGCTCTGGCCACATTTGTATATCACCTGCCCACTGCCTTCATCCCATTTCCTAAGGGTACTATCTGGTCCCTAGCAGGGGATAGGTGGTCAGTCAACAACGTGTTCCTGGTCTTGAAGGCCCCAAAATACTCCACCACAGGGGACTCGGGTGCCAGAAGGGTTTCCAGCCCAAGTCTCCAGCTGCAGTGGAGATGAGCTCCGTGGTTACGGGGTCTTCTTTCTTTGTATACGCTACACTGACAAGTCTCTGTTTTTCATGAAATATTAGAGATCCAACCCCACCTCTAAAAATACGACTACCAGGCCCACTCCAAGCAGCTCATTCAGACGTCTCTCCCAACTCTATAATTTTCATTAGACCAGGTAGGAACTAAAGGCTCATTGTTGCCCTCTTCTGTCTCAACCAAGTTGAGATTCTCCTCACACCCTCTTCCAGGGGTCCGTGGAGGCTGGACGTGGTCTCTCTCCGCTTAATTGTGGTGCTCTGCTTAGGGAAGGTGTACCTGGCGAGCTCAGTGTGAAGCTCCGGCTGAGATGTCTTTCTTTACTAGATTTCTATTTCTGTGTTTACTTAAGCTCTTGACTGCAGTCTGCTTTGCACCATGGGCATCCTCCCAGCTCCCTCTGTGGCCAGGTGTCAATAGGAAGATCAGAATAAGTATATAGCTGGGACAGACTCCCACTGCAGAGTGGGACCATGGGGGGAAATGGAGTTCTTCCTGAGCATTTTGAAGGTTTGAGAACATCATAGGGATGCTTGAAATTGCATCACTGTCAACAAAACACGTGGATCACCCTGTGAGACAAAGACACCTTAACCAAGTGCCTTTGCTTAAAACATAGAGTCTTTCAATATGAACCTAATTCCAAGGGAGGAGCCCTGTGGTGATTTGGGGGGATGCCAGGCACAAGTGTGTGGGGAGGGAGGAAGGAAAGGAGCTGGGAGGTCTCCCTGGGAGGCAGCTGGCTGCATACAAAGGGTCTTTGGTTCTGCCTTGAGCTCCTGAGCTAGGACTTCAATATCCTAAGATCTTGAGTGTTCCACTGTGACTTGCGACTTGCGAAGGTGATCCGCCTCTGTGGGCTCTGGCTCCCTCTCCTGGTAACTCTTTGGTCCTCTCTCTTGGTGACGGGTAGAAGGAAATGGCCTCATCCAGTTAGTTGGTGGGGAGGTGTCCTGATGAATCTTCAGGGCAAGGGATCTTCACCCTTTCCACAGTCCTTCAGGAGGAAGAGTCCACCTTCTTAACCTTTGGCCTTGAAGTCCAAGAGAACAAAGATCATACTTCAGTTCTACCACTTGAAAAAACGTTCATTATGTTTAATTCAAGCATATACAAAGGAAGATTGCATAATGAATCCCATGTACCCATGACCAAACCCCTGGTTACCCTTAGTTCATCTACCTTTTCCCTCCCCACTGGATTATATAAATACATCATTGATAAACATTTTAGTGCATATCTCTAAAACCCAAGGACTCTATTTTAAAAACTTCCCAATCACCCTTTTTAAAGGGGAAAAAAAAAAAATCTCATGATAATGCAAATCCCTTTGTCTCCCTTCCTCCACATTCTGAACATTCATATGTTCAAGGATTTTGGCCAAGCAAAATAATCTGGACATCTCATTGCAGTTGGTTTCTCTATGATTTGGCTTATGGTGTTGAAATAGGATCCTTGGGGACTTCTCCCTACATTTGCCTCACCTCCTCCTTTTTCCTGTTTTTGCAGGATATTGAGGCAACTATGAACTCTGCCCTGAACGAGCTGCGGGAACTGGAGCGGCAGAGCAGCGTCAAGCACACGCCTGACGTGGTTCTGGACACCTTGGAGCCCCTCAAAACCTCCCCGGTGGTGGCCCCCACATCAGAGCCCTCCAGCCCCCTGCACACCCAGCTCCTCAAGGACCCTGAGCCCGCCTTCCAGCGCAGTGCCAGTACAGCTGGGGACATCGCCTGCGCCTTCCGGCCTGTCAAGTCTGTCAAGATGGCTGCCCCGGTCAAGCCACCAGCCACACGACCCAAGCCCACCGTCTTTCCCAAAACAAATGCCACTAGCCCTGGTGTCAACTCATCAGCTTCCCCACAGTCCACTGACAAGTCTTGTACTGTCTGAGGGATATAATTTAATTGTTCTAGACAAGGGGACTGGAGGGACTGACTGTTATTAAAATCTTCCTATTTAACTAGCTTGGGGACTTCAGTTGAAAATTAGATTTAAGTTGTTCTTGCAGGAATTAGCCTTTCCATCACCCAAAACCTTGAGAATGAAGCCCTCTTTATCCCCCTGCCCAGCCCCTCCCACCGCCCTCTGCTTCCCCCAGTCGTCGTAACTCAGCCAGCTGCAGTACATGCTGTTCTTAGGTTCGCCAGAGATAGATTCTTCCATTAGGTCACTGTGAAACCTGGCCAGGCACGTCCTGAGGACATGGGCTCAAGTCTCAGTGCCCCGCAGTGCAGGGGATGCCTAACCAGATGCTTGGCTACGGACATCCAGCTCTCAGTGGCACCTTGGTTTGGGTACTGATTATACAGAACCAAATAAAGTCCATTCAGTCCATTCTTCGTTTTACACACGCACGGGCTTTTCTAATCTCTGGCATGTGTAGCCTCCTGGTTCTAGACCAGTCTCTTTGTAAGTTATTGTGGCAGTTCACACAGGAGCCACCAGGGGTCTCTGTTTCTGTTACAAATCTTGTTCTCTCTGGGCCAGAGAACCTAGCCTTTGATATCTCTCCATCGTATGAAATTTAGCAGGATGGGACTCAATCCTGTAATCTGTTCAGGGGTTGGGGGCTTTCTCTCTGTCTTCTTTCTGTTGGTGTGAATTGGTCCTTGGTGTTTGCTTTTACTCCCCTCCATCCTCTAGAACCACAACTCAATCTTCTTATGGAACTTCTCGAGTTTTTCTGAATGTATGGACATTTTTTGGTTTTCTATCTTTGTCTCTGATGGACCATTTTCCATTCAAGACATTCTCCTGTATAAGACAGTTTTATAGCTGGTTCCTTTTGGGGTAAAGACTCCTAGGAGAGTTTCCTTGAGTTCACGGCAGGTTTGGAAAAGGTAAGAAATGGATCCTTCCTCCTCCCGCTCATTTGGGCAGTTAAGACATAAAATTCATTACTCTATTAAAAAATTAAATTCAGCTTTGCTCACCCTAAAATTGTTCCCAAATGAAAACTTATCCTAAGTTCACCCCCTAGTTTGGTTATTCTATAAGGTCTCTCTCTTCAGGGACCAACAGGGGCTTGGGAGAGCCCTAGTTAGATTAAAGAGAGACATTTCTCCTTAAAACATATTTTCTTTTATTTACACAAGGACAACTGAGAGAACCCAGGCCCCACAGGCTTTAACATCTCCCCAGGGCCAAAATCTAAGAAAATTAAAACCTGGATGCTGGATATTTTGGCCTTTTTTTCTTATTCTCCTCCAAAAAGCAAAAATGATGCCCATGTCCGCTTTGATCCAGTCTCCAAACCTGGTGCCCGTGGGCCTCGCTTCCCTAGCATCATGCTGTCCCAGGAGGACCGCAGCTGGGGACAGTCACGCTCCAGGCTCATGAGTCTCAGATACCTACTTGAGTTAAAGCTGAAACTCATTCCTCTTGTCTGTTTTCTCTTTTTAAAGCTGCAACTTTTAGCCTTTTCTATAGTTCAGGAGAAACGGTGGGTTGCCATTCGGATAGGAAAAATCTGAATTTTATCTGTAGCCTAGAAGGTCCTTTGTGGACCAGCGTTTTGAGGTCGGCAGTTTGCTCCTTGGATGTGGTAGGATTTTCCTTATTGTGTGAAGGAAAAGAGGAGCTTTGTGGGAAGTGCTGACCTAGGATAACCTGCAGCACTAGGAAAACCATCATGAAAGATGGAGGGGTGAGGGGCTCTTTTGGTGAAGTGATTCAGCCTGTGAGAAGCAACCCCCCAGTCCACTGGATTCTTGGCTTTAGTTGTTCGTATGGTGGTCTGTCCTTGTCTATTACCTGTACTTACACAGGTCTTGAGCCAATAGGGTCTTTCATACCCTAGGATCTATTTCCTTGCTGACAATGGAACCCCACCCTTCACTTTACATTCCTTTTGATCCAACCGATCCAAATTGGTACCCACCCCTGCCCTTTTCCCCTCCCTCCAGCACACTCCTCTCGAAGAAAGTAAAAGCCAAGCTTTCTTAATGACAGTGCTTTGGGCCTATTCTGTTGCTCCTGCCTTACTTCCCTTTTCGCCCTGTCCATGACTGTTCGCCACCCCCGGCCAGTGTCCATCTGCTGATTTGCATCATGAATTGGACAGTGTGTGAGTGGTCACCGGCTCCCCCAGCTCCGGGAGCCGAGTTGTCTTCCCCTCTCTGGTGCTCCTGACACCTGTGAGACGTCCTGTCGAGAGGACTAGGAACCTGCAGAAGGAGAGTCCTCGGCAGAGCTCATTGCAGTCAACTGGAATCGAGGTTGCACACTGTGATTTTTAACACCGCAAAGCCAAAAGGAGCTGGCTACCCCAGGGCCTAGGGAGACCAGCCTTCCTCAGATAGGCTTGCCTAAACCAGCACGAAGTTTCCAAGAGCCCCACTCTGGCCCTTGAGGCATGGACCCTGTTCCTGGTGTAGACTCGGATGGGTCAGTCTTTGGGGAACAGAGGTGGGGTGGGGCTACCAGCATCCAAGTGGGAAAAAGAGGAGTTTGCAGCCAGCCGCCTGTGAACTGGAAACACTGGTCTCAGCCAACCTCCTCAGGGCACCCTGGTTCCTCCCCAAGGAGAAGAGGAGAGATGACACCAGCAACAGGAGGAACAGACCACTGGAAGGGCTGGTGTGGATGCACTTCACGTTCAGAAGAGAAGTTAGAGCTTCCAGGGAATTGCAGTGTTGTGGCGTCTGACTTGTATGTCACGTTTGTGTACAATGGTATATTCTTTAAATAGTGTTGATAACTGGAATATTGTATGTATGCTTGGAGATGCTTTGTGTGAACCTAAGACTGTCACTCAACAGATGTTGGATTGGGGAAAATCCAAAGCACAACTTCGAAATAAAATACATTTTTAGGTTTCAATGCTGCAGTTCATAGATCCCTTCTCCACTCCCTAAAATCTCCAATTCATGAGTCCAGCTGCCCAGGAGGGATTTTGATGTGGCTGGTAACACAGCGCTGCCTGGCAACAGAACAAGAAATTAGCTGACACTGGGAGCCAACCATCTTCCCCATCCCCCGATCAAGCGCAGCACAGGTGCACTGAGAACGTGGATGTCCCCCCCTAGCATTTCTGTTCGGCCCATGGGTGAAATCTAAGAGGTTGTGTAGAAAGTCTTCCAGCTCTCCATTGGGCAGTCTGTTGCCATGAGAACCATTGCCTCAGCAGAATCCACCTTTCCTGTTTTCAGTGAGAACTGTTCTCATTTCTATCTCTAGTCAGATTCCCCACTCGGAAGGATGGGGCCTGAGAAGTTGCTTGGAAGCAGCGCCAGCCACAAACAAGGGTGACTGAAGGCCTTCGATCTACAACAAAGGCCCTGAGTCGTTCTGCCTTTGGCAGTCCCCTGCCTCTGGGGGAAGAGCTGACCGATTGGCTCATGCTGTTGGTGTTGAGTACTGGGGTGGGGCACAAACAAATGCTTTCCCCTATAGATTTTTATTCTAGCAGGCCCTGAATTAGGCTGAAGTTAATCAAAGACAACGTAAATGTATCCTCCAGCCCCTAGGGTCCACACAGTGGGCTTATTCTAATACCAGAAGACCCTGGGTGGAATCTTGTATCAAAGGAAGTGTCCAGTGTCCAATAATAATGCAAGGACTCCTGCCTCGGGCCCTGGACCGGACACAGCATCCTCTAAGGTTTGTCGTCTTCACCTGTTATTTGTGTGTCTTTAATTCAGCCGCCATGTCCTTCCAATCTGTCATCTTCCCCTCCCTCACTTCAATGGTAAGAGCATTCTCTTGCTGGTCATTTGTTCCTGAATCTTCTGCCACCCTGTGTGATGGGTGAGTTCCCACTCCTGAGTGCAGGGGGCAAGCTATGAGACGCAGCCAGTTCTTAAGCTGTGAGCAAAGGACCAAAAAGATTGTCAGGGAGTTGGGAGGCCAAGTGGCTGTTCTTTTGGGATTCTTTTCATTCTTCTCCCATATTCTCATGGGAACATGTAACAGTGACACTACTGAAACACAGGCCCATGCCATCCGGATGGAGACCAGCAAAGGAGAGAGGGTGGGTGTGGTCAGGACACGGTCTTTATGGTTATCTAATCCCACTGTGTGCCACGCACTGTCATACAATATCGAACAAGAGAAACGGATAACGGAGCTTCCTTTTTAGTTTCAGGGAGAAGAGACCATCAAAATTAGTGTTACTCTGAAAATGAAGCAATGGAGTAAGATGATGCCTAGATTGGTCAAGAAAGTCCATTATGGGACAAGGAGTAATATAGTTAATCGAGAATTCTGTTTGACCTGGTCAAGTCGAGATGACTATTAGGCATCCAAGTGGAAATATCAAATAGACTCTTGGATATATGAATATGGAGACTTAGGGACAGATCATACCTGAAAACAAATTCAGTAACTATTACCCTTTAGATGAATTCAAACTATGAAATTCCCAGGAAGAACATATAAATGGAAAGAGAAGGTGTCAATAATCAGAAATCCTGCAGGGAAGAAGGAGCCAGCAAAGAAGCCAGAGGGAGCAAGTGGCAGAGGTAGGTGGCTGGGAGAGCACAGTGTCAGAGACCAAGAGAAGGGATGTTTCAACGAGGAGGGATGGGTCAGCAGCAAATGCTGGTGGGGTAAGAGGAGGCCGGGGAAGAGAGGTACTCGGGGGTGACCTGGGTGGAGGTCTCCGCGGCGCCCTCTCAGTGGAGGGGAAACCAGTCCGATGATGGGCGGCAAATGGGAAGGGAAGCGGGAGTTAGGAACCCGGCAGCTCAGTGAAAGGCGTTGTTTTGATCGGGGAGCATCAGAAAGGGTCAAGGGATCAGGGTTTTGTTTTGAAATGGACAGCGTAGGTGCCTGTTTACTCCAGGGCAGGACCCAGTTGAATGGAAAGAGTGACTATGCAGGAAAGGGCGAGGGCCAGAGTGCAGATGGAGGGAAGGGTTGACCAGGGCCCCAGCAGAGACACTTCCAGCTCGTGGGAGGGGAGGCAGGTGTGGCGCAAGGCAGGCCGTGGTTGTGGGAGTGAGAAAAAAGGCGTTCCCTTTGGATTGCTGCTTTTATTTCAGTGAAGTTGAAGGCAAAGACTTTAGCTGAGGGAGTGGGAGGGAATGATGAGCAGGAAGTTTGAAGAGTTAAGAGAATGAGTGAATACTCACTTTCCAAGAAAGTGAGTGGAAAGACATGGAAATTTCAGGGGCCAATTTCCTTCAGGGACGCTGGTCCCAGGGCACCTTGTCCCACAGCTTGGGGGGAGGGGGAGGGGTGCCAGGTCTGACTGCAGCGTCTGTCCCTCCTTCCCCGCCCAGAGCTCCTAGCCAGAGCTGACCGGTAAAGGGGGTAAAGAGCAAGGCTCTGCGACCTTGTCCCTCGGCCCTGCATAAATGACTGAGCCTTGTGAGTACACAGGCCCAGCTCCTCCACAATCCCAGCTGCCCTAGTTCCTCCTTATTTCCCCTCTCCTTTGAGGGGCTGGACAGGTGAGGCAGCTGTGACAAACAGGCTCAAGCCATGTAGGGGCAGAAAAGGCAACTAGTGTTTATTCAGGGCCTACCCGGTAACAGGCACTTGTTTTGTTTTACACCAGCTGCAAGAGAAAAGTTGCAAGGTCAGGCAGAGCAGGTGGTAGAGTCAGGACTCCAGCGCCTGTGATGGCAAAGCTCCTGTCCTTTCAAAGAACACGCTTGGCCTCCCTTCATGGAAGGCAGACGTGGGCTTTTCCCCCCAGGGCTGCCATCAAAGACGCCTATCCTTCCCGCCTCTGGTTCTTGTCCTACCTCCGAATTGCCACTTGTATTTCTATGGCTCCTCAGAGCCACTTGGGAACATGCGGCGAAGCCTCTCGCAGACTTCCTCTTCGCTTCGGGAGCCTGCCGGGCTCCTCGCCACCCCAGATGAAGTGACGGCCCTGCCGCCCAGCTGGGGCCAGCAGCTCAAACCACAGCAAGACGTTCGTTCGTTCATTGTGTCCGCACAGATGGTGTGACCTTACAGAGTGCCCCGCAAAACTCCCTGCACAGGGCTCCAGACCTGCCCCCACTGCTCCCTCTTTCTCCAGCCCAGCCATGCATGGTGCCCTGGGCAAGTCACCCTCCTCTCACGCTTACATGTCCCTGCAGGTGTCACTACTGCCTGCAGTGCCTTACCTTTGACTCTCCATTCTCTGCCTATATTTTTCTCCAAAGTCTGCTAGACTTTGGCAAGCTCTCCTGGACCACCCTTTCTTGGCTGCCCCACTCCACCCCGCCCCGCCCCCGGCCCGCCAGATTCACAAAATCACCACCGGCTGAAGTTTCCATCTCAGAGCATTCACCAGCCTGCCCTGAACCCTGGTTCTCGGGGACACCTAGGCCTCACCTTTGTGTCCTCAGCACACGATGCCTGCTTCCTAGTAAGTGCCATACGCACACATGTATTGCTTCAAGGACACTTCAGAAACTGGGAGAGAGAGAGTAAGCTTGCTGGAGAGAGGAGTAGGGGTGCTGATGAGGACTGAGCACCTTTATCTGGAACAAATAGGTAGACTTTTAGGGATAGACTAGATTATGTTGCAAACCTCAATAGCTTAAACAACAAAGGTTATTAATCACCAAGGCTCCATGTTCCCTGTGGGTCAGCAGGGGCCTCTGCTCCTGACAGCCACTCAGGGACCTTGACTGAGAGCAGTCACCCTGTCTAACAGAGCGACACTGAACGAAGGCAAGGGGCTCTTGCATCAGCAGTTTACACGCTTTGGTTGGGAAATCACCTGGCCCCACCCAATCACAGGGCGCCAAGAAAGTGCGATTCTACCGTGCGCCGGCGGGTGGAAAGCTGGGAATCCTGGGTGGAGAGCAGGAGGGTCTCGGGGATATTTCTTCTGGTCCTGCTGGGACAGCAAGCTGGTAGCACCTCTGGGTAGGGCCCAGCAGCAGCGCCTCCGGCCGCCAGGTGGCCCACAGGTGTGCCTGTCTGAGTGGGAGGCACTTTTTAGCTGGGCTCCTTTTCTGGTGTCACTGGGCTAGGGGTGGGGCTGCCAGAGGAAACCACCAGGTGTGGCCTTGGGAAAGTCCCTCCAACATTCTATAGAAACATGGAATTTCCTGGTTTTAACCATTTCTCACCCAACGGCTGTCTCGGAGCTGACCAGAGCAGGGCAGACCCCTGCGGCCTCCTAGGAAATTTCACATGGGGCACTGAAGTCCGGCTGGGGATTCGGCACACCTGGCTTCCGGCCCCAGCAGCCTCTGAAGATCAAGGGCAAATAACTGAAGCCACATGGGCCTCGATGTCCTCGGTCCTGTCTGTAAAGTGCTGTCCAGTGTCCCAAGCATTTCCAAATATATTGTGCCATGTCATCCACACAGCCAGCGGAGCACATGTCTCTCTCCTCTTGCCTTGGATGAGAAAACCATCTGGGAGGGGTTGCGCGCTGTGCTCAAGGTCGCACTGGAGGGCTTACCCAGGCTCCAGGGCTTGCTCTTGGGCCTCTGCAGGCTCACTGGGAAGATGAATCAGACCCTTCCTGGGGCTTCTGGGTGCTTGGTCTTTCCAGGCAAATCTCCCCTTGGTTAACTTGTCCGACCTGCTCTATTGATGCTGGGTCACGCCCTGAATGAACTTCCCTGCTCCCGTGAACTGCAGGACATGTCCAAGCAGCACCCCGTGGCCTGCCACAGCTGCCCAGCCGTAGTCCCCAGCCTGTGTGAGCCAGACTCCTTTGCCCTGTAGCCCCCACTTGGGAACTCAGAGCATCCCCTTTCTCCTTCCTGCCGGGGTGGCTGAGTGGCCCAGCTGCCTGTCTCTTTAAGAGAGAGACAGACGAAATCAGGAAGTGTGAGAGAGCTGCTGGCAGCTGGGAGGGCGCTGGGTGCTCAGGCACCGAGGCAGGGAGGCCACCTAGCTCCCAGCTCCC